CACCAGAGTCCACTAATTCAGTATAAAGATGTTTATTAAAGAAGGTAGATAAAATAGGGGGAAAGGTCAAATCCAAAAGGGTCAGTAGAACAGAAAATACAAAATAGCAGTAATCCAAAAATGCCAAGGAACATAAAGCCAAAGAATCGAAAACCAAAAGCAATAATCCAAAGATATGTCCATGAACATGAAAACAGGAGTTTCCCCAAGGTAAATTCTCCAAAGAAACACAGACATAAACAAGAACAGGAAACTTAAGAATACTTGAACCAAGAACTTGAGAGCAGAAACCAGAGAACAATCTCTTTTAGCAAAGTTGTCTCCTCTGAAAGACCGGAAAACAACTCACTAACTGAAGCCCTCCACGCCACCCATGACATCATGCCTCATAGACCTGGATCTCTTAGCCTTATCTCTGAGCCTCTGAGAAAATCTCAACTGCTGACTTTTAAGACCCTGAGTTCTCAGTCTAATCTAAGTTCCCTTGCAACCTCCCTGTCTGCCCAAGGCCATTTATCCAGGGAACTGGTACTTTCATTTTCCCCTGTTGTCTGGGAATGAGCTGAAGGATCCAAAACATCAGCCTCATCTGTCTGCAATTTCCCCTGATCACTCGCAGACTCTTCACTTTGAAATCTATCATCCCCGGCTGACTCATCCTCTGAACAGTCAGAAAAATCCTCTGATGCTTGCCAGACTACAACAAATAAACACGAAGCAATATAGAGACGTGTGACTTACAGTTGAAGTTGAGAGAGGTAGGGCATTGGGCATTATTTAATTTTTAAAATTATGTTAGTTACAGTGTTTTTTATATATATATCCCCTTAGGTAGTGTAGATATGTGTTTAAGCATTTTTGTTGTGCTTTGTTTCTCCATAGTGTATAGTATATTTGCATGGTAGATCCTGTGTCATTTTTATTGTATGTAGAATTGTATTCAATACAAATATTTATTTAAAGCAACTTAGCCATTGGAAAAAACCCCTACTTTCCTAACTCACTTCCTCACTACATTGAGCATACATAAGAATATAATAAAGCGGTGAATACTGGCCAATCACACAAATTTGTGAGAATTACTGGGTCATTCAGTCAATATTCAGATATAAAATGTGGCAAAGGAAGAGCAGGGGGGAAATAAGCACCGGAGAGTCTTTTTATTGCTGAAAGGGAGCATCTTATAGATGCCTGTTGAAAAATTGTTCTTCTGCCAATTTTTTTTTTACATATAATTGTTCAGTCTCCTTAGCCTTCTCAATATAAATCAATGACTGTTTGGAAGGACAGTCCTTTTGCTTGTTTGGCCCTTTTATTTTTTTAAAAAATCATTATATAAACAACCTCTCACTTTGGGCTGAATTGATGCATCTCAAGGACCATTCTGAAATCTAAATTATCCCTATGGTTTTTGGCATGGTTGTTTGGGGTTTTTCTTTCTTTCAAAAGTTATTTCCCAGCAATCCTTAGTTATTGGCTTCTCTTTGGCACAGAAGATGAGCTCACTGGCGGATGGAACGGCAAATATTAGCCGGGTCTCCAAACAGCAATTTCAGTATTGTGCATTTCAGCTCTGTAAGGAGATGCTGCAGCATCAGACCCTTCCAAAAATCAACTTAATTAACATCTCTGCAGCCTTGGTTAATGGCAAGGCAGGGAATAGCTGGGGTTGACTGGAGGTTATTGCTGGATTTTTGTCTTTTTCCTTCCAGCTCTGTCTTTCTCCCCATCTACTCTCTTTCTCTTTTTATGCTGTTAGAACAGTGGTTCCCAACCTCTTTTTGACCAGGGACCACTTTGACCAGGGACCACTTTGACCAGGGAACACTTGACCAGGGACCACTCTCCAACATTCGTATCGAAAGGGTTACACATCCGTTTTTGCTCAACTTTAAATTCAGTTCAGTTATTTGGGGTGCTGATTCAGAAAATTGCATTGGCTAGACCACATCATCTCTAGTTTCTGATACAGAATGTATGCCATCCAGTAGTTGCCATCTGCTTGCCCACAGAAAACCATATTTAATAATCTAGAGCTGATGTGATCTATCCACCCCAAATAACTTAGGAACAGGCCTAAAACAGAAGATAGCAAGGCTCCCCTGCTTTTAGGTGCCACACGGAATGGCTCCACTCAGGGAGAGGGAGGAGGAGGAGAAGCAGTAGTCAGGAGGATGGTTGTCACACTTTTCGTGGGTAGTCAACCTCTCCTCACCCAACATCTCAGTTGCCTCAGCATGATAAGAGGGTTTTGCAAGACCAGTTGCTCTTGTTGCAGCAGTGTGGTAACGGTGAGGCCACGAACCACATTTTAATTCTTGGGGACCAGTGGTGGTCCATGGACCACAGGTTGGGAACCACTATATTAGAATTAGGATAGCCACATATCCAAATGAATAGAAGGCAACTTTGTTTTTTTGAAGATCCATCACCCCAACATTCCTTTTAAGGGAAAAGAAGAATGAGCAGAAAGGGGCCTTGATTTATCCTCCAATAATTAGCACACAGCAGGTTGGGTAGATATCTAATCCCATCCACCAATTGTCCTAATTTGGCAACAACACTCCTGATTAATTCTTTGCCATCCCATTATTTCAGAGGATTACTTGTTTCCTGGGAATGTTATGGTTTTGCACCTTTCGGAGTCCATCTGTTGAGTTGAGTGCTAACTACTTTTTGCAATTAGGAATTTACTGGGTTGTTGAATGTTTTTTTGGGGGCTATATGGACATGTTCTAGAATGCTTCTAGAACATGGCCACATAGCCCGAAAAACCTACAACAACCCAGTGATTCCAGCCATGAAAGCCTTCGACAATACAATTAGGAATTTTTGTTTGTGTAGCAGTCAGGGAATCCAGAACCATGGAGAGCTCCTTTACAAATTTGCTTTAACTGCAAACGCTCTCCTTTAGGCCATTTTAATCTGAACCAAAGATGCTGACTTTAGAGCAGTGGTTTTCAACCTGTGGGTCCCCAGGTGTTTTGACCTAAAACTCCCAGCTGTTTACCAGCTGTTAGGATTTCTGGGAGTCAAAGACCAAAACATCTGGGGACCCACAGGTTGAGAACCACTGCTTTGGAGAATCTTTGATTAAGGAGTTTCTTCTCCTTCCCTGAACAAATTGGCCAAGCTATTTCATATCTGGAGATGAAAAGAATGATGTATGAATAGAAGGCAAATATCTATACATTTGTATGAACCTGACATATTAAGGATTTACAGAATATGCATTAGACTCTCGGATTTCCCAGTACTGTCTCATCAGGAAAAGTTTGAAATAAAAGAATTTTTTCACAGTCAATCATGGCATGATCATGAAGGTTACATTTACTGAACAATGAAGAATTGATAAGGTCTTGAGACAGTTCCCAGCATCGCTGGGAATTAATTTCGCTAATCTCACAACGAACGTCATCAAATTTCCTTTCTCTCTCTAAAGTGGAACAGGGGTGGGCACTAGAAGTGAGGAATTATGGCTGTGAATATGGTACATTGAAATATGCACATAAAATTAAAAAAACAACAATGAAAATTCATGATGACATGGTTGCACATTGAACATTAACAATATTAAAATGTATTCAAATGTTAAATTCCCTTTAAAATCCCAACCACACCAGCTTTAAAAGCCTGATTCTCATCCATTTATAAATGCCTGATGGCAGAGAAATCTCTAGAGAGGAAGTTCCAAGTTCTGGGAGCAACCACCAAGAAGAACCTTTCCCTTGTTCCCACCGGATGAGTGAGCTCAGTGCTATGGAATCCTGGGAGTTGTAGTTTGCTGAGGCACCAGCACTCTTTGACAGAGAAAATAAAGATCTTGTAAAACTACAGCTCCCAGGATTCCATAGCATTCAACCATGGTAGTTCAAGTGGTGCTAAACTGCATTAATTCCACAGTGCAGATGCACCAGAGAGAAGACCCTTCCCCTGACTTAAATCTCAGAAATCATTTCTGCACATTTATATTATGAACTTATTTAACAGGATTTAACAAAATTCTGTATTTTATATTTGACCATTCATTTCTTCTTTCTTTGGGAAGTGGGGGTATGTAAGCAGCCCCACGGGGGCGAGGAAACAAATTGGGAGTCCTTCTGGCAGGAAGCATGTCTTCCATCTTAGCTATGGAATCAAGATTCCAGAATCTTGGCTTTGAATCTTTGCAGTTGGTCRACTGGRAGGTTGAAAGCACCCAAAAACAACAAGGCTGAAGGTTAGCTGGCACARGACAAAGGCTTGAATTGGAGTGGAGTGAGTGAGAGCAGGGGATGATAGRRTGGGATCTGAAGAAGGATTTTCTGGCATATTTTCTGGCAGGATCAGAGAATGCATGGCTCTGTCATGGCTATAASCCTTGTCATTGTCCACCATTGCCCAGTGTTGGCTGGAACTGAAGCAAAGGGTTACTATATCTCAGGATCTGGGYCTATGTCCTAGAGCAGAGCTTTCCAGRTATTTCATGTTAGTGACACATTTTTTAGACCAAGTATGGGCAAACTTTGGCCCTCCAGGTGTTTTGGACTTCAACTCCCACAATTCCTAACAGCCTCAGGCCCCTTCCTTAAGCAGCTGAGGAAAGAAAAGAAAGGGCCTGAGGCTGTTARATTTGAGTAGGARTTGTGTGCCCTTAGAAGACTGCAGGAAAAGTACAGTTAAGACTTCAGTAAAGAAGTWAAGGATGCCCTTGTTACCTACATAGAGAAACTATTTCAAACTTATTTGTAACTGGGTTGATAAGCAAAGTAACTGTAAGCTGCATACATGAAGTTTTGTGAGTAAACCAACAACGTTACTTTTAAAGAAGTCTGCTTATTTTTGCCTCTCGAGAGCATGATTTACAGGCAAATATATTTTAAGGGAGAGTAGATTATTTTTGGGGAAACCAAAAAGGTTATGGCATCATTTTGCCAAAAGGTTATGAATCCCATTTCCCAAATGGTTATGGAGATTCACATTTTCCAAAAGAACCAATGGCTCTTTTTTCTGCCCCAAGGATGCAGGAGGATGAGAACGAAGGTGCCAAATTGCGTACTGGTTCCAGCAACCAATGGGATCCAGGTAAGGGCCCAAAGGAAGACCATGACAGCACACCACTGCCCCTGTTTTCTTGATCTATGAGACTGAGGGCCTAGCCATTCCCCACTCCCTTCCCCATCTTTTATCCTGTGGCAGCCCATCAGAAGAAGTTGCCAGTTCCAGCTTTTAACGTAATTATCCAATCTCTAAATGCACTTCAGTTGAAATGCATGCCAGGAGAAGTGCACAAAGGCAATGAGGAGGAAGGGGAGAACAGCCAGTGGGGTGGGGGTGGGGGGCTGCAGCATAACCATTGATGGAGGCACGAACTCTTGCGGACACCTTGCTGCAATCATAAAGTGAAGCAATGCAGCACTGCGGTGGGATGGATGCAGCTCTGGATCAAACTTTCAAGCAGAGCTGAGAAAAGTTACTTTGAGTGGATGACAATTCCTACAATCTGTCCCTCTTCTCCAGTCCTAAAATCTGGAGAAGAAATTTGACATATCCTCCAATTTCCCCAGTTTGCAAAGGCAGCCTCAATTAATCTTCTGTTGTCCCACTTTTTCACCTTCCTACTTTGCCTTAGTCTTCAATTGCTTCAAACTGAATTTGAAGTGCAAAAGTAGTCTACCCCCAACTCATCAAGGTTGACATGAGCAGATGGGTTGAAATCTTTCCAGAAAGTGGATATGAAACTGCTGCACCCTCTCCTAGCTTGTCTGTTCTTCCTCATTAATAACGTTTGTTATCTTGACCATACTTTGATGCTACTTGCTCACATGTGTCCCCATTTCCTTTCCTCTTGTCACTCTCAAAGTATTTCAAACTGAAGTTGGCTCTGTAGAAGGAGTGCCATCACCGCTAGGAAATACTGAGATGCCTTAGTATGCACTGCCTCAGGAGTGTCAAAAGAGTACTGCAGTTTGATGCTTTGTGGATTTTTCTGCCACTCTTAATTTTCTGAGTTCAGTTCCCATATTTCTACTCTAGCTCCAATGTGATTTGTTGTTGCGTAATGCATGTGGGTTGAATCAGTTTTATCAAAAGGGACAAATAATCAAGATTCTGTCCCTGCCTCACAAATATTTAGGGGTTTTTTGGGGTTTTTTTGGTGTCAGGAATGACTGGGAAACGGATGTGAGAGAATTGGCCGTCTGCAAGGATGTTGCCCAGGGGATCCCTGGATCTTTGATGTTTAGCATCCTTATGGGAAGCTTCCCATGTCCCCGCATGGGAAGCTGGAGCTGACAGACGGAGCTCAACCCTCTCTCCCCAGATTCAAAGCACTGACCTCTTGGTCTTCAGTCCTGCCGGTACAAGGATTTAATCCATTGCACCACCGGGGGCTCCAATATTTAGTGATGACTGATAGCAAAGTGACCCAGATCCTGTCTGATTTAGAAAGCTAAGCAGGATTGTATTTGAAAGGGAAGCTTCCTATAAATACAAGGTCTGTAGGTTTCATTTAAGAGGAAGCAACTCATAAAACCAACTCTGTGTATTCCTTGCCTTTTTTCGTGTTAGGAGTGACTTGAGAAACTGCAAGTAGCTTCTGGTGTGAGAAAATTGGCTGTCTGTTAGGACGTTGCCCAGGGGACGCCCAGATGTTTTGACATTTTACCATCCTTGTGGGAGGCTTTTCTCATGTCCCCGCATGGGAAGCTGGTGCTGACAGAGGGGGTTCATCCATGCTCTACCCGGATTCGAACTTGTCAGTCTTCAGTACTGCCAGTACAAGAGTTTAACTCATTGCGCCACCGGAGGCTTCTTGCCTCAGAAAACCCCATAAAGGCGCATGTACACACAGTAGTAGATTACAGTGGTGGTGATTTAGGAAAAAGGGAAGACTGCAAACTGACTAGGAAGGAAGGAAGGAAGGAAGGAAGGAAGGAAGGAAGGAAGGAAGGAAGGTGGTGATTGCTGGTTAATGTGGGCTGCATTAAAAAGCAGAATTAGATGAGAAAAAATATTTTTGCTTGAAAAAAGGGTGGCTTTTTCTTCAATTAATATATTTTATTCAAAATGGTTTTGTTTCCCGTTTAATGCAGAGATCATTTAAGTGATGAGCTTATCACACAAGGCAAGTAAATGGCAATTACAGCAGGATAGTACTGTCTGGCAATTATCCATTTGGAAAGCATTTCTTTTCCATACCAAAAAAAAATATTTTAATGACCTCCTTTTGTAAAGAAATGCTTTCCAATGGGGAGAAGAACAGAAGAGGAGGAACAGAGTCATGTGATAAGTTCCAAAGTTAGCCTGCTATAATTGCGATTTACCTGCCTTATGTAATAAGGTTCTTAATTTGCAACCAGAGAAGTATTTTCCCCTTTGTTAGACATGATGAACGACAAGCTCCTCTGAGCAACTGCGTACTGCACCATGCTTAGTATCATTAGCAGGGCCTTCCTGCTGTGACCTCCCTTAGTCTTACTCCTTGTGACATCACCAGGAGGCCATCCCCAGAGCTCAGACTTTTGTGGGACTGGGAGACTCCTAATCTAGCAACTCTAGACTCTGATTGTATTCTAAAGGGGGGGCACAACAGTCCAGTTAGCTTCAGTTCCAAGAGGTTTTCTTCTCAAATTAAATGTTTTTCAACAAGTTCCTTCACATCTCTCCTTGGGAGGCAGATAATGACAAAAGGGAGAGGCTATGCAGTGGCGGTAATGATATGTCCTCTCCCCACACCATCAATTTTCCAGGTATTCTAGCAATTAATGTGGATCTTATTTCTTACTAGCTTGGGTACCTGATGTTGCTTGGGTTATTTGAAAAAGTAATTTTTTTTAATTTTACAAAATGCAGAAGGTTGTGGGTGAACTACAACTCACATCATGCTATAAATCAAGGTGAATTCCACCCAAATCTCTTCGGTATTTTTCTTTGGTCATGAGAGTTCTGAGTGCAAAATGTGGTCCAGATTCATTATTAGTGGAGATCACAGCGCTCTGACTGGATGAAGGGTGAACTACAACTTCCATCATGTGGAGTCAATCCCCCAAACTCCAGTATGTTTAGTTGCTGATTAGTTCTGCTCTGTTTGTTATGCAGAGAGGAAAGGGTTAAGGGAGAGGCAGTGGGCAGAATCATGCAAACTCCATGCAAACTCCACACCAGTAAGAAACACTGGGATGTCTGTGGTGGAGGAAACACATAAAATCTAGAATGAAATTGTAACCAAAAGGAAGCATTCATTGGGTTGTAGGTAGTATGGTGCTTGGGGAGGACACTGGCAGGGGGTTGGGCTATATGTTCATGGCGCTCGCTATAACCTGAAATGTCACTGGACGGAGGGCTTTTGGTGGCTCCTCAGCACTGTGGGTTAAAGCTGTTTGTGGAAGTGGGAGCCTGTCTGTGAAAGTGGGCACCCCAGCCACATACACACATACGTATTTTCACTTTTATTATGTGTATGGTTAGATAGATAGATAGATAGATAGATAGATAGATAGATAGATAGATAGATAGATAGATAGATAGACAGTCAGCTAGGATGCTGGGCTTGATGGAATGATGGTCTCATAGAGCAATTCTCCTTAGATCAAAGGTGAGGATCAGACACCCTATAGACTGAATTTTAATCTCTATGCCATTCTAGCAGCACCTAGGCTGCTCCTTGAACCTTCTGAATTCTCAATTTTCTCTCCAGAGAAACACAGAGACATAAATAAGATTTGCTGCTTGTGATCTCATCTACAGCAAGATATTCTCACCTTTGCTCTAGCACAAAGATGGGCAAAGTAGAACCTTGGAACTTGAATGTGTTGTCTTCAGAAGATCCCCGAAACCCTCCATGCTGCCTTCTCTAAATTCACTTTTCTCACAAGGGTTTGAGGCACTTTTTCATCTTCAAAGAAGCCCAAACACTCCACACTATTTGTAAATGAGTGGTTTACTATCATGGACCCCAGTTTTTTTTTGTATTTTGCCTGTTTGTTTGCTTTGTTCTGTTAGAAATGTAATATAATTGACTGGTTGCCCTGACACGACAAATAAATATGGACCCCAGTTTCCCCAAAAGCAAAACCACACATGCACAAAATCAAACTCTGGCAAAGCAACAGCTGGGAAATGACAGTGTATCACTTCTGGCACTTCCCCGCTCCTCATGCGGGGACATGAGAGAAGCCTCCCACAAGGATGATAAAACATCAAAACACCCGGGCGTCCCCTGGGCAATGTCCTTGCAGAAGGCCAATTCTCTCACACCAGAAGCGACTTGCAATTTCTCAAGTTGCTCCTGACATGACCAAAAAACGATAACAAAAAAACCTTCTGGCACGCTGAAACATGACAGTGCAGCACAAGCGAGGAATGCGGTGGATGGATCGGAATTGTTCCATTCAGTCTAAAGTTACTCAGCCATACCCTAGCAACTTCTTCAGTGTAGAAATGGCTTTGTTCCCTGGTTCATTTCAAGTTCGCAGACGACACCAAATTGGGAGGAATAGCCAATACTCCAAAGATAGGATCAGAATTCAAAACAGTTTAGAGAGATGGGCCAAAACTAACAAAATGAAGTTCAACAGGGACAAATACAAGATATACCACTTAGGCACTTGAAATGCAAAGATACAGAATGGGGGACGTGTGGCTTGAGAACAGTACATGTGAAAAAGATCTTGGAGTCCTCGTGGAGAATAAGTTAATCATAAGCCAACAATGTCATGTGGCAGCTAAAAAAGCCAATGGGATTTTGGCCTGCATAAATAGGAGTTTAGTGTCTAGATCCAGGGAAGTCATGCTACCCCTCTATTCTGCCTTAGTCAGACCACACCTAGAATCCCACTGTGTCCAATTCTGGGCACCACAGTTGAAGGGAGATGTTGACAAGCTGGAATGTGTCCAGAGGAGGGTGACTAAAATGATCAAGGGTCTGGAGAATAAGTCCTATGAGGAGCGGCTTAAAGAGCTGGGCATGTTTAGTCTGAAGAAGAGAAGGCTAAGAAGAGACATGAAAACCATGCATAAATAAGTGAGGGGAAGTCATAGGGAGGAGGGAGCAAGCTTATTTTCTGCTGCCCTGGAGACTAGGACACAGAACAATGGCTTCAAACAGGAAAGGAGAATCCACCTGCACATTAGGAAGAATTTCCTAACTGTGAGAGCTGTTCAGCAGTCAAACTCTGCCCCAGACTGTGGTGGAGGCTCCTTCTTTAGAGGCTTTTAAACAGAGGCTGGATGGCCATCTGTCAGGGGTGTTTTGAATGCGATTTTCCTGCTTCTTAGCAAAATGGGGTTGGACTGGATGTCCCACGAGGTCTCTTCCAACTCTATGATTCTATGATTTTGAAATCTGGTGAAGCCCAAAACTCCAAGAGCCTACTAACCACACCGTAGAGTTTTTTTCTTTTTAATGTCTTCCACATTGTCTCTCTTACTTTCAGGTCCACCCCCCCTGGACCCCGAGAATGAAGGGGGAACCGGTCCTCTTTTCCTAGAAATGGAACAGCCTGCCCCTCCTCCACGTAAAACTTCGTAAGTACACTTTAGGGATGAGTTAAAGTGTTGTCAGGGCTGAAGCTATCATTTGGCAGGCTTTGGCAGGTGTTTCAGGGGAATGGATAATGGGGAAGGCAGTATAAGATGTAAGATGCCTAGGAGAGAAAATAAACAAAGTCATCTTTTTTGTGACACATATAAAATAGATTTATCTGCAGAAATCTGTGCATAAACAAATACATAATCTTATGGCAGAGAGGAAGAGAAAAAACGGCAGGAGGTTATGTCATGCAGAAAGCAAGTGAATGTGGTAGAATCAAATAAATGGGAAGTTACCATAAATATATTCCGTCCTTAACTCCCATAGAAAATATGCAAATTAGAAATTATGGAGTATAGGCATGCAAAGGCAGCTAAGCTCACAATCTCTAAATGCCTCTTCTGGTAAATATCACTTGTTTGGGCTGCATCAGTGTACAGTATATGGGTTTTTCCAGGCCAGTATGCATCGCTTTACTAATCTTCAACTGCATTTGTCATTTTATTACTCACTCCTGGATTTTTTAGCAATCTTTTTTTTTTTGAGATCTTCATTATCTCTGTTCATTTTCTGCCTCACTCCTTGCCTTGTTTGATGCTGTTTACACACTTTGTGATGTCACTGATTTCTCCAGCTCCAGATATTTATGGAAGAGATAGAAAGGATAAGTGCCAAGACAAATAGTTGAGGTTCTCTATTGGGAGAATTGTCCATGCGTTCACTCTGTTCCTGCTCTTTCTTCCCTATTCATCCATTATTTATTTTTATATCGTGCTATTGCCCCAGATGGTTCAGGGTGGTTTTCCTTCTTCCCATTTTATTCTGACATCAATCCTGTGAGAAAGGTGAAGAGGGAGCAAGAAGAGTGAGAGAAAAAAAATGAGCTCAAGCTCATCAAGTGTGTCTGATGACACAATGGATGCCAGATCCCAGATATTTATTTATTTATTTATTTACTTACTTACTTACTTACTTACTGTATTTGTATACCGCCTTTCTCAGCCTGTAGGTGACTCAGGGCAGTTAACAGGGCAAAATTCAATATCCGAAATCCCGTTCCAATACATACCTTCCAACATTTTATAGGTGAAATCCGAGACACATGTAGCCAAACAACACCAGAGTATGATAAAGATTGTAAAATTTGTTATTGAGAAAAAAATACACAAATTAGGAGAAGTGATAGCAGTTTGCTTTTGCCTGATCCATTTAGGAAAAGCAAGACCATGTCCTCTCCTCTTGTTGTAGATCAGCCAGAAGTAGAGAGTTTCATTGATTATTTAGAAAGGCTTGTGGGCTTCCCTGTGGCACAAGGTGATGAGGGCTCAAGTCTGGAAAATTCAGGTCTGGGAAATGATGTTTGTCTTTGTGAGAAAACTGGCTCAGAAAGTGCAAGGCCTCAAGGTCAGTTCAAGGAGCCAGGAGGAGTAACAGCAGATAAGGAATCCAGCAAAGAGCTGAGTTATAACGAGGATTCCCAGGCGAGACCACCTGTAGCTACAGAGATCAAAATAGATTATGTGGGACTGAAAGATTATGTGGGAAAGTTGCGGGGGGGGGGGGGGGGATGGGAGATGTAATTCTTTCATGGGTTGCTATTAAACAAGAAGTTGTTTACCTTAAAGTCAGTTCAGGCAACACTGCATTTAGAGTGAGAAGCTAAGCCTGAGTTCTCTTGTTCTTGGTTCAAGTCAAGCCTTAGTTTTGGATTTTATATCTTCCTTTCTTATTCCTGCTTTTTGATATGCTTTTTATGTGATTTACAATAAACAGTTTTCTTATATTCCTGGAATCTTGTGTGGTGCAGTAGTCATAGGTGTTTCCAGGCCTGGAGTGCAACACTTCTCCTCTCCTTCCTGCTGATTTGAGAGCAGACTACTTTGTCAATTTTAGTTCAATTTGAAGCAATCCAGCTGGCCTCTCATGTTTGCAGATTTAACTTCTAATAATTTGATTATTCATAGATTTCATTAATATGGTCTCTTTAGGAATCTCAAAGTCTTCTAGCAAAGATTGACCATCTAGCTTCAGTGGAGGACCTAGAGAGTTAGACAGGAGTTCTCTCAAGCTAGGAAAATGTGTTTCTTTATTCATGGTTTTTCAAATTTTGTCGGGGTCTTGCACTCTTAGCTCCATGAATACAAAGGGCTGACTCTGTGTGTGTGTATTAGAAAAATTACACCAGGATTTCAGCTTTCTTTCTTTTCTCCAGGCGCCAATACTTAAAGCGCATCATTGCTGAATATGAGGCCCTGGACATGGAGATGCCCTGCATCCGCAAGTTCCCCAGACCCCCAGCTGCCCGTCCTCTTTGCCTCTGTCTGGAAAGTCCGGTTAGTCCAGACTCATTGGGAAGTGACAGAATCAGGATTGGCTCCACATTGGGGTTTTTTGGGGGGGTTTTTTTGTCCTGGTGGACCACTTTTGTTGTACACAGGTGCCCTGATAACAGCAAAGAGGAGGAGAGGAAGTACTCTTGAATAGTATCAACTGTTTGGGTCTAAAGTGGAAGCCTGGCATTTTAATTCCCTACTATTCCTCAGTATAATACTGCATCAAGTGGAATGCCAACTCCACTCTTAAAGAATGGCATACTTTGTGGGAGGTTCTTTTGGCAGCTGCTTTAGGATGCCAGAAACCTCTGCCCAACATTTGTTGTTGTTGATGATGTTGTTGTTGTCATGTGTCTTCAAGTCATCTCCAAATTATGGCAACCCTAAGGAGGTTTTCTGGGATTGAAAATGTGTGACTCACCCAAGGTGAAACAGTGGGTTGTCCTAACTCAAACCCTGGTTTCCAGAGTTGAAGTCCACACTAGCCATATTGTTTATTGTTTATATTATTTTCTGTATCTGTTGATTGGTGTAAGCCACCCTGAGTCCCTTTGGAGGGAGGGGATGGAGTCTGGGGCGGCTCAACCCATTACACAAAGTAAGCATTTGCAGTAGCGTTGATTTTGCCCAGGGGCGCTCTTGAGGCGCTCTTGGGGGAAAATAGACCTTGACATATGCGAGTTGTAGTTACTGGGATGTATAGTTCACCTACAATCAAAGAGCATTCTGAACTCCACCAATGATGGAATTGAACCAAACTAGGCACACAGAACTCCCATGACCAACAGAAAATATATATCAGTGATTGGTTGGGGGCGGGGGGGGGGGGAGGGGGCAAAATACTGTTTCCTTACCATTGAAAATTACCTAGGGCCGCCTCTGGATGGAGTACAAAGAACACTCCTCCTCCTCCTCCTCCTCCTCCTCCTCCTCCTCCTCCTTGAGTCCCCAGTGGCACAATGGGTTAAACCCTTGTGCTGCCAGGACTGAAGACCTACAGGTTACAATTTTGAATCCGAGGAGAATGAGGATTAGCTCCCTCTGTCAGCTCTAGCTCTCCATGCAGGGACATGAAAGAAGCCTCCCACAAGGATGGTTAAAAATCAAAACATCCAAACATCCCCTGGGCAACATCATTTGCAGATGGCCAATTCTCTCACACCATAAGTGACTTGCAGTTTCTCAAGTCACTCCTGACATGAAATAATAATAATAATAATAATGGGAATTTTACATGTTGCAGCACAAAAACGTTACCCCCAGTTATATATGTAATTGCATTAATACATGTTTCATCCCAAAAAACATATGTTTTGATGTCCTTAAGCATGATTGGGTTAAATATGGATTAGAAAAGTTTATTGCTGTCCCCAGCATTTGCAGTTATTTTACTGTGCCTATTAGTGAGGCCAGCTCTGTGAAAAATAGGGCTATGATAGCTAAACAGAATCTCCCTATGCAGGGCTACTGTACCTATTAGTATGGGATACTTGGGACAAAGAGCAGAAGATGGCTCAACCTGTTTTGCTAGATGCATTCTGGCAGACTGTTGATGCCCCTGAAATATGATTGAGGCAATGCTTGAGTGATTTTTGAGCCTTCTGCCTTGCCATATAGGCCAGTAGTTTTAGTATGATTCAGATTGTGAAAGGCTATAGTAGGGTTTAATGCAGCCGAAGAGCCATTAAAAAGAAAGCTATTTCAAACCTACATTACAGATTTCCTTTAGGAAGAAAATAGTAGTTCCTACTTGGTGGGAGTAGTTGCAATGAAAGCTGACAGTTGAATGTTTGTTTTGCCTTTCAGCCTGAAAAGGAGATGAACCATGCGGAAGTCCTGGCAGCTGTAGAGGCAGTCATTCCTGATGCCTTTGAAACAGGCCTTCTGTGCAACATTCAGTTTGAGAACATTAATGTGATCTGCGGGACCGCTGGAAGGAAGAACAGGTTTGGATTTTCATGTTCTGCCTTCACCCACTAGACCTCATTGCATGCCTGCCTTGTGTTCCCAGAAAAGCCAAGAGTTGCAGTTTCCCTTCCATACATTTGTCAAATGCTTTGGGGTACAATCGTAATAGTCCCAGGAGGAGCAGATCCCCTTGGTCTAATTTGGGTTCCCATGTCTCAGCACTGGGTCCTTTTCTGCAATCCTCAGAAGAAGAAGAATGAATCTCAGACCAAGAGTGCTGACCTAAAATGTTTATGTTTGTGTATACATTTCTTCATTTATTAGACTTGGTCCTTTTTTATTTGGATGGCATCTTCTGTGAAGCTGTAGTTGATAATTAAGGAATCATGCTTAATGTCATCAGAGGTTTCCCTTCATAACATCTTCCCTGGAATAATCTCTCGTGATACCACATCAGGTTTTCCTGAGATCACAGGTTTTGGGCTCTGAATTATCAGGGCTTTTTGATAGTCCTGACATGTAGCATATTTTTATACCTTAGGTAAAGTTAAAGGTTTTCCCCTGACATCAAGTCCAGTCATGTCCGACTTTGGGGGTTGGTGCTTATCTCCATTTCTAAGCCGAAGAACCGGCATTGTCCATAGACATCTCTAAGGTCATGTGGCTGGCATGACTGCATGGAGCACCGTTACCTTCCTGCCGGATCTGTTTGCCCATTCAAACCCTCCTCCACTGAAACTTCAGCCAAGACTGCCTCATTGTTCCCATATCTCAGCACCAGGAAAATCCAGATTTTGGCAGGCTTGCCAGACTTCAACGTTTATGCCACCAATCAAAGACAATAGGCTGTCTGGCTAGAAGGCCCCCTGACGATGCTTCGGCCATTTGGACACTACATATCTCCATAATCCACTCCAGTTCTCATTGTTTCCCTCTTGTCCCGCCCCCTTCTCTCCTGATGGCCAGGAGGCCGAGGTGGTGTGAGCTCACCCATTGGTTAAGGAGCTCAAGAGGCGGCCAAGCCTCCTTCCAGCTGTAGAGCACCAACCAATCAGATAGCTCTGTATATGTATAAAAAGGCTTTATTTTGTATTCAATGTATGCTTTGCTTGATGAATTATTGCGGCTTTGCATCCTTTCCAGCTGGATCTCAATAAAATCAACTCAGTGTCGCTTCCTTCAGCTTTGGTGAGATTCTTTTGGGAACTTAGGGAAATCTTTTAAACTGTGGCTTCTTTTCTTTTGCTCACCAAAGTAGCGAGCCCTCTTTGGTGGGTCCGCAGGGTCTCTCCTTCAGGGCGAGACCCTTCCAAATTCCTCTTCGACTTCATAAGGTTGAAAGTCCATAACATGTAGATATAAAAAGCCTATATGTTTTAAGTTAAGTAAATGATAATAAAATGTACCAAATATCAGAATTAACTGGTAGATAGGCATGTATACATCAAAAATATTGTTACCTGACTATATTTGTTATGATTTGTTGCTCTGTTATGTCCCATAACTAAAATAAACTTTTAAAAAGAGAGAAGGATGGGATATAAATGTTCCAAATAAATAAATAAATAAATAAATAAATAAGTGGGCCAAAGTTAGTGTCGTCCTGAGGAGTGTGAGGTAAACCTCTGTCTGAGAGAAGCCTCTCTGTGTGAGAGATCGTCTCAGTGGAAGAATAATAGTCCTCATTTTTCATAGGCCTGATTGTGAGGTAGGCCTCAGTATGAGAAGGTCTTGTGTGTGAAGTTCCAATGTGAAGGTTGAACTTTATTTGTGTTATGGAAACCTTGCTCTTTTTAATACTGTACAGTTATAAGGAAAGTCTTTTGTTAATAAGTCACTCGCCTAACAGACTCAACATCCATTTCAATCTTCCTCCCTCTGATTCCCAATCTCTCTCTCTCTCTTGTTGTAGGTGGCTGCTTACAGTGGCGGATTTCCGGACCCGCAACCAGCTCTTGTGTTCAGGACTGACTTTGGGCCAGGACCACTATGTCTTGCGACGTTGGGATGATCTGGTGATGGAGGACTATCGCATGCACCTCCGAAGGTCACTGGCACGCCAGAGGCTCCTAGACACTCTCAGTGATTCATGGGATGGAAATCGCTTGGCTGGGATATGAGGTCCAGAGACTAAACGAATCACCAGCAAAGAAAAACATGGTGTTTGGCTGTGTTCATATCTATTGTCCATCATCTGTTTTCATACTTCTCCCCACTTTAAACTTTAGGACTACCAACTCAGTTATCTCCTATTTCCTTTTTTCAAGCATTAACAATCCAGTCCAGGACACACTAGCTATTTCTGGCGAGAACAAATTTGGGGACAAGGCGCCCCCTTGAGGCATATCTTCATTTTTCTTTAGGTACTCCGCTCCAATTCCAGCCAAAAGTGGATGGAGGGGGTAGAGGAGGCGTAGCTGATGTTCTGTAACTAGAATGCAAGCTGGGCCTTTTGATCTAGGATCTGTTCCTTCTAATTCTAAATTTGGGACAAGCTGCTTGCCATTCCTCAGGGAGGAAAGGAAAAGTAGCAACACTCTGCCCTGCCACTACAAAAGGTGTTTTGAGCCTGGCTCTTCAGAATGCCCTACTAAGCTCATTGGTCTTTAATTGGCTGTTTGGGATTTGCAAATGGGTCATATCCTGACCTAAAGTGGGTCATCAACTGATGGTAGCACCACCAACTTTTGCTATGGTCAGGATTTTTTAAAAAGGATTTTCTTAAAATAAGTATATATGCAGTTGTATATACACATGCGATGAGGGAGAATTAAAAGGGGATGAAGCAACCAGAGAGAGCAATAGAAGTGTCTGAATGGATGCGTGTTTCCGTGTCAGGAGTGACTTGAGAAAGTGCAAGTCCCTTCTGGTGTGAGAAAATTGGCCCTTTGCAAGGATGTTGCCCAGGGAACACTGATGTTTTATCATCCTATGGGAGCATTCTCTTATGTCTCTGAAATGAGTAACTGGAGCTGACAGACGGGAGCTCACCCTGCTCCCCAGATTTGAACCACTGACCTTTTGGTCAGCAGTCCTGCTGGCACAAGGGTTTAACCCATTGCACCACCGGGGGTGCCAAAAACAAAAACAAAAAAGGAAGAGGAGAGGATGGAAAAGTGAGAATGAAAGAGAATGTGGAAATGAAAGAGAGAAGGAAAAGGAAAGAACCAGTGAAGGAAGAAAGAAATGAGAGATTGGGGAGAGAGGTAAGATGACAGAAAATGCTAGGGGGGGGGGGGGAATGAAGGATGCAAAAATGGGTTGTGGAACAACAGAGGGTGAGAGATGGAATAGGTTGGATGAAAGAAGGAAAAGAGAGATGTAAAATGGATGAAAATAAACAACAAAGAAATATGACAGAGTAAGAAAAAAGAGGTGAACGATGTGATGAGAATTACAAAAGAGAAAATATAAACAATGTCAAAGCAGGCTTCAAAAATGTTGTACTTGAAATGTTGGAAGTTGATGCTCCAGCTGAAATGAATACTCATCCCAGCAACGTAGTTATCTCGTGAGAATTTGGAAAGATCTCTTGCTTTCTGGCGCACCACATGAATCCGGATTTGTATTCTATGCAGCAGAATGGGCTTGCTTCATTGAAGAGGGCCAAAATGCTCTTTGAGTGGTATAACCTATCTTAGCAGGATTTGCACAATAGCAAGAATAGATAATTTTCCCCATCCCATAAATGAGGCAGGTAGATTTTTGTCTGGAAGCCAAAAGGCGGCACCCAGTTATACTATTTTGGAGATTCTGGATTATTTATGTGCTTAATCTTTCCATTACCTTTTACAAGAGCCAAAGGGCAAGAATGAGGATATGAAGTGGTTCATCTCCAAGAAATTCAGCTTCTTTTCTGGACAGATTTGTCCTTAGAAGTAACCCTGTGGAGTAGGCTGGGCTGAGAAAATGTAGCCTAAGGCCATTTAGAATTTCTTTGTTTTGCAGATTTGAACTCAGGATCCCACTGTTCAAGACATAATGCTCTGAGCTCTACTCCAGATTTGCTTGCTCTGGTAGAATATATATATATATATATATATAGAGAGAGAGAGAGAGAGAGAGAGAGAGAGAATCAGGAGCGACTTGAGAAACTCCAAGTTGCTTCTGGTGTGAGAGAATTGGCCGTTTGCAAGGATGTTGCCCAGGGAATGCCTGGATGTTTGATGTTGTACTTGAAATGCTGGAAGTTGATGCTCCAGTCCTTATGGGAGGCTTCTCATGTCCCCGCATGGGAAGCTGGAACTGATATAGGGAGCTTAACCCACTCTCCCCGGATTCGAACTACTGACCTGTTGGTCTTCAGTCTTGCCAGCACAAGGGTTTAACCTATTGCACCACCTGGGGCTCCAATATTTAGTGATGACTGATAGCAAAGGGACCCTGATCCTGTCTGATTTGGAAAGCTAAGCACGATTGTATTTGGAAGGGAAGCCTCTAATAAATTCCAGGTCTGTAGGTCCATTTAAGAGGAAGCAACTTGCAAAACCAACTCTGTGTATTCCTTGCCTAAGAAAATCCTATAAAATATTTTCGTGTCAGGAACAACTTGAGAAACTGCAAGTGCTTCTGGTGTGAGCGAATTGGCTGTCTGCAAGGACTTTACCCAGGGGATGCCTGGATGTTTTACCATCCTTGTTGGAGGCTTCTCTCATGTCCCCACATGGGGAGCTGGAACTCTCCCCGGATTCGAACCTAAATGACTTGCCCTCTTTACTATCACAAACTTTTTTCTTCTTGTTGCTTCCCAATCATGGTTTTGTCTTGCCACCCATTCTTTAGGCAATGAGACAATGGTCTCAGGCAGTTTGTGATTTTAGGTATCATGAAAAGGCAAATTATTATTTTGATGCACAGGATAGGATAAGGTGCTTGTGAGCTTTTCTGCTCCACAAGAATTTTACTTATTTGGGGCATTACACACCTCTATTTGATCCGTGAAGCCTCTGGTGGCACAGCAGGTTAAACTACTGAGCTGCTGAACTTGCTGACTAAAAGGTTGGCAGTTCAAATCTGAGGAGAGCTCCTGCTGTTAGCCCAGCAGTTTGAAAACATGCAAATGTGACATCAACATGTGCCACTTCTGCGGGAAGGTAACAGAACTCCATGCAGTCATGCCAACTACATGATCTAGGAGGTGTCTACAGACAACGTCTGCTCTTCGTCTTAGAAATTGAGATGAGCACCATCTCCCAGTCGGACACGACTAGACTTAGGACTTCATCACGCTAGAGAATGAATCCACTTTAAATCCGGTTTCTAACTCCTGCAGAATTCTGAGGTTTGTAGTTTAGTGAGGCTGTTAAAGGCTCCTCCCTAAACTACAAACCCCAGAATTCTGCAGGAGGCAGAAACCGGATTTAAAGGGATTCATTCTCTACTGTGATGAGGTCCTTATTTAATGTCAAAGGGAAACCTTTACCTTTACTTGATCCTTGTATGTGTGCATTTCCGTGTGCACAGAAAGGAGGTATTTTATTCCAGGCAACAAAATGTCTTGAACAGACCCACTTATGCTTCCTGACTCCGTCTCTTATAAAGGGAAACTTTGGCATATGTCGAGGTGCAGGATGATGCACAGCGGCATTGCAAGAGCCAGGACGTGTATCCCACACATTTCCTTTGGCTTGGATCCATATGTCGAGTTAATTATAGGAATGAGTTTAGGTACAGCTGTAGTTGCCAGCCTCCTACATTCCTGAATTCCCACATTAAAAGCTCCCCCACTGGCTCCATTATTGAACCTTACACTTGCAAAGGATGATGCCCCATGGCTCTAGGATTTAAAGGGAGGTAAAAAAAAAAACCTAGAATGTTGGGCAGCATAAAAAGGAGTTAGGAAGAGGAGAGAGAGAAAAAAACCAGGAATGTGGTAGTACCTTTAAGACTAACTTCTTTTTATTTTCACAAGGATATAAAGCCACTTCTTTGGATACAGTACAGGGCACCTAAAGAAGTGGGTTTGTATCGATGAAAGCACAGCTAAAAATAAATTTAAAAACAGTTAATCTTTAATGTGTCATCATTCTTTCTCTTTCTATCTCCCTTCCTTCCTCCTTTTTATCTTGCTGGGCTCTAACATGGCTACTTTTTTTGAAACCTTTGGTAGGATACTTTGGTAGGCTACTCTTGTCAGATTTGGTAAACTATTGGGAAAGCTGGAATGAATTTATCTGAGGATGTTTCTGATGTTCTTGGGTTCTGTTTGTGGTTGGAGCCTCTGGCAAACATATCACTTTGGTCCATCCTCTTGGATCTGGAGCAGCTTTGCAGAGTGTTTATTCTCTTCCCTCATTCAGCTCTCATTTCTGATCCATTTGAATGTTTTTCCAGCATAGAATTCAGGTGAAGGCATGCTGAACTCCCAGACAGTCTCACATCAAGGTACTGAATGGATTCAGAGCAGCAGTTTCAGGCCCTTCCACACAACCGTATAACCCAGAATATCAAGGCAGATAATCCACAAAATCTGCTTTGAACTGGATTATCTGAGTCCATACTGACATATAATCCAGTTTAATGTGAATTGCAGCTGTGTGGAAGGGGACTTAGGGAGCTGCCACACAGACATATAACCTGCAATATCAAGGCAGAAAATCTCACAATGTCTGCTTTGAACTGGGATATCTGAGTCCACACTGCCATATATCCCAGTTCAAAGCAGCCGTGTGGAAGGGGCCCTAGTTTCAGCTTGTGTGCTGCATCATGTATCTTCAGAGTACGTGCCACTGCATTACTGGTAAAGCATTTCTACTCAGAAAGACATATTGTTCAGGAAAACTGGGCTACCAGTGGCTTCCATTCCCTGCCACGATACCTGTGAAATGAAGTGTAAGATATTGTTCTTAAACTTGTTATGGACAGCCACATATTTATGACCGTGTGTATGCAGAACACAGCCCAAGTTTTCCAGAAAACTGTTGATCAACCAAAAATAGGTTTCAGGTTTGCTGATCTGTTTCAGTTTCCACTGGTTAACCAACTAGGTGACCAGGTGCAATATAAAGCAAAGAGAAAGGAAGCAGTCATCTACTCCACTTGATTTTGACCAGAATCTTGATCCCACCTAGAGTAGATCCACAGAATCAAAGGTGCAATGATGAGTCAGCACTTTGCTAAATCCTGTTGATTCAATGGGTTTACTTCCAAGGAGTTCTGCAAATTTTATTTTCACAGAACTCCTATTATTTTCGATTTTGTTGGTCAAAATCCGGTATGGAATTTACATATGTGCTAAGTAGTTCTGATGCTACTCAGTGAATCTTTGTTTAACCCCTACAATCTCTACTCACTAGCCTACATAACATGTGTAAGTTACATGAGAACATTCTGGTCATCTTTTCTAAGGTCTACGGATATGTGACACAAATGGTAAGAATATTTTAATTTTTAGTGCATTTTTTACCTGAAGATAGGGAAATCCAAATTTGAATCAGAAGCATAGCTGAAATCTCCATCTATTGTGACTTCTGTTTGGTTTAAATTTTGCTTGGAAGCCCAGTTGCTGAAGCAATTTACCTACACAACTTTCCAAAGTTTCCAAAAAGAACAAAAGGGAGAAGCCCCACAGGTTATCAAGGCAGCGGGCACTGGAGGATATCTGTAATTTTGTGAGAGGTGAACCTGAGTGCCATCATAACTGACCTCAGATGACGATGGCTGTGACAAGACTCCCAGTGGCTAGGCTGTCATCAAATGTCTTTTCCACATTGTTTCTCCCCTTCTGTCCCAATGTTCAGTAAATTCCCAGCAGACCTGGCAATTATTTGTCATCTGTAGTGAAAATCTAGTGAACATCTGATGGAAAGTTTTGTTTCTTCTTCTTTGTCCACAACATAACACATATCATGGATGCAAACACACCTGGGGAGAAACCTCTGTATCCCATAGAGTTTATATTTGCAAATAAAATCAGTAAATTACATTAGTTGCTCTGCACAGGCATTGGAGGCAGAGACAGGACAAGGGGATTCGGTAGAGGAACATATAAGAGGTGTGTGTCTCTGTGTGAGTTTATGCGTGTGAGAGAGAGACTTAGGCAGATCTGCCTGAATGCCAAAGGATGGGCTTAGGCAGGACAGAGTTCATTACATTCATCTTGGGAGATTCTGCCTACAGGATGAGGTTTCCTAGAGATGTGGTTTTAGGAGGGTTGATAGGGAAGAAGATGGACGTTCAGGATTCCTGGGTTCAAGTGTCACTCTGGGGATTAAGAGTAGAAGTGGCACTCCTGTCCCCCTCCATAAAACATCCTAAATCCCAGGAAAGGGATGTAGTAGAAGTGCATTGTAGAGCAGGTAGAAGGAGCTGAGGGCATGTTCTAGAATGACAGGAGCCAATCCTTCCAACACAGCAAGAAACCAGACTGGGCTCTTGAGTGAGGATTGTGACACACCTAGGGGAACTTAATGGGATGACATAACAGATGGGTGATTATGGACCTTTTAAGGCCTCTTGGGCCAAGACCCAACTTAGTCTTTTCAGAGCCTTGAAGATGGGAAATGGGGTGGCTCTACCTTGTGGCCCAGGAGCCAACTTGGCTTTTTGCAAAAGGGTGTAAGAGCGAGGATGGAGACTGGAATCTACGCAATGAAATTCTGGCAGCTCTCTCCAAGAAAAAAACAAAAACATAGGAAAAGAAGGAAAGATGGGTGAGGGACAAAGGGGAGAAGTCTATTATACATGACACCTGGGTGCTACAAGGCCAGGTGTTGGGGGAAGGCAAGGATCCCTCCCCCAGAGACTTATATCAGAGGATTAAATGGGGTGGAGTGTACCGACTCCCTTCCCTGTAGCCCGTCCCCACCCAGCAGTCACAAAAATCAAAACACAACCCTGTCAGATGCAGGCATTACCATCCCCCACCCCACCAACTCCCACCCCCACCCCTCATCCCAGGGAACAGATCCCTGAAGCACAAAGTCAACATTACATACTTCATTTCAGTACATTTAAGGCAAGAGGATCCAATGCTGCAGTTCTCAACCCTTCCAGGACCAGTCCACCTGTAGACAAACTCAGTTGCAACTTTTCTCATTCCTGTTTGGAGAACAACGCAGGAATCTTACCCCCCCCCCCCCCCCGCCTTTCCAAATTCCTGCACACATTAAACCACTGAGCCAAATTATATCTTTTTGGAGAACACAGGTGTCCCTGTGTAGCTTCCTGTTCTCTTTCATCTAAGGCAACAATCCCACTCTCTTCCCCAAATATGGGGTGTACAATCTGAACTAGTAGCAATACCCTCACCTCCATTTTGACTTTAAAAAAATATCAGCCTTTCTAGAAAGCTGAAGAGCCACATCCCTTCACATGTTCCAACCCACCCTAGGTCCTGTAGTCTTGTCTCCAGCTTTCAAGCAATGGGACAGGCCCAGGAAAAATCTCTCCATCATTCAAACTAGAAAATCCATAAATAACAGTAGTATAACTAATGGACAAATGCTTCTTAAAGGTGCCAGTCCATGATAAGTGATCATCTTGCGGTCCTTCTTTATCCTTGGCCAAGCTTGGTGGAGACCTCAGTTCAACAACATCTGGAGCAGAGGTTCTCAACCTGTGGGTCCCCATGTGTTTCGGCCTACAACTCCCAGAAATCCCAGCCAGTTTACCAGCTGTCAGGATTTTTGGGAATTGAAGGCCAAAACATCTGGGGAACCACAGGTTGAGAATGACTGATCTGGAGGGACACAAGCTGCCCATGCCTACACTATCATGCATCAAGAGGTAAGCTGTACCTGGTGCAGCATCTTCCCTTTTCTCCATACAACCCACAATTTCTTACAATATCAAAGCTGGGGTCTCCTCAGAATAAGAAAATGATGACTTGGTTGGTCTGAGACAAGAGAACCCCCACAAACGACACGTCTGGGGATGGTGTCCCAAAATTTGACCATGCATTTGCTGCTGCTATTCTTGAATTTCCAACTTCTATCCTGCCTAATTTCATGAGTCCCATACATTCGTTAGTCTTTCTGTTCCACCCTACAGACATTATTTCTTTGTGAGATCATTGGACTGTTAGTTTTCTGTTCAAGAATCCATTAGACCTGGATACTTCCCCCATCACTATAAATTCCCCAGCCCCGCAAGAGACCTGGCTCCCAGATCCTTTCCTTTTCATACACCCCGTTATGTCCTTTTCCTCAGAGCTGGAACATGAATCTATGGGGCTGCCTGAGTGAGGAGTCGAGAACAGCAGCATAGACCCCCTCCCCTGCCTAAAATTGGAGAGGAGACCATCTTTCCCACCTCCCCGCATTATCATCATCATTTTGGAAGACATTCTAAAGTTTGTTAGTTTCTTTTTGCTCCCTCCTTGGGGCCTGTGGATGGGAGGGGCCTGTGCGGCCAGTCTGACGAGACAAGAGCCCTTTTCTTTAAAAAGAAAGAAAGAAAAAATATGGCTGCCCAACCAGCAGCACTGAGGTGCAGTGTCAGCGGCACATGTCACTAGCCACACAGTAAGGAGGGGACGGAGTTTTCACCATGTGGCACTAGGATGTGGCATTTGGTGGCTGCTGTGATGTGAAGGAGCAGAGAGCAGCCACATCTGGAGATGGGTCAGAGCGACGCCACATGGGTATGGAGTTGTGGCTTTGGAGGCACAATGGGAATAGCCATGTGGCCAGTCAGGTTGTGGCAGCAATGGAGAAGGGGCACCACAGGAGGCGTGGGTACACAGGATGACAAGAGTGACGTGGCAAGAGGCATCCTGAGAGGGAGGCACACAGAGCCACATGGCACAGAGCCAGGGCACTAGAAGGGTTAACCCAGCCATGCAAATTGGGTGAAGATGTGTGACTCCCAACTCAACACAATCAACTCCCAACTCAACACAACCGATAGCCCACTTGCCCCAACAGCACCTGGGTACTGTTTCTGTGCAAGGACCAAACTCTTCATCACTCATATCTCTTTAGTCCAGTGGTTCTCAACCTGTGAGTCCCCAGGTGTTTTGGCCTACAACTCCCAGAAATCCCAGGTAGTTTACCAGCTGTTAGGTTTTCTGGGAGTTGAAGGCCAAACCATCTGGGAACCCATAGGTTGAGAAACACTGCTTAAGTCCTTAGTCCTTTTGCTCTTTGTGCCTTAGCCTTCTCAATCAAATCACTGCTGGCCCCATCTCTCTACAGACTAGTGCTACCTTGCCTTTTTCTTGTAGTGATTTCTGCCAACTGCCTACAAATTAACCCGAGGTCTTCTGAATCCAGTGCCTGTGCCTCTTACTTTGGCTGCAAGTAGCCATGACATCCCCTCTCAAAAGATGTTGCCAGCATGGATTTCTCAAATCCTGTATTTTTAAAAGCTGGGCTAGGGATGCTAATGTGCTTGCTGGGAAAATGGCCACCCCAAGAATTCTGCCTTGTAAGCCGTTAACACTTGCGGTCTTGACTGTCTTTTGTGAATCACCCCCGCCCTGCATTTCCCAACCACAAGGGCTAGAGATTATCCTTGTTTTAATAAAAGCGAAGCTGAAATTTTAAGGTTCTGAAAATATCCTGGCTGCCCACGTAAACATTTTATTTGCCTGGGGCCTGTCACCAGTTGGGTTTCTTTTTTTAAAGTTTTGTTTGTTTTCTCTTTTTTTTGCATGCCTGGGTTAATCATATGGTCATGAAGGGAAAGGGTACATTGCTGGTCTTGACAGGTGTCAGATGAATAAGGTTACCCAACGTCATGGAGCGTGGGCACGTGGGTGACCAGAGCCACATAGAAAAGAAATGTGATGTGGCTCTACAAAAATAAAGAAGAGGGGGGAAAAAAGGTGCAGCGCGTTACGCCACATGGTCATGGGAGGTGGAGACTTAGCTGTATATGGCACAGAACTACGGTTTCAGAGGCGCGAGAGTGGGGTTGGCTGCATGGCACAGTCATGGTGGGCTGGCGGTGGCTAGCTGTAGATCTAAAGAGTCACAGCACTGGTGAGGTGGTAAAATGGGGCCAGCCACAGGCCTACAGTCATAGTACGAGTCCCCACACACTTCCCCACAGCTCGTAATCCCTGATGTGGAGATTGGGAAGGAAAGGGGTCAAGGGATTTCCCCCCTTCCCCTCCCATTGGACGGAGCATCACTCTGAGGATCCCAGCAATGAGCAGCGGCAAGAGCCTCCCTCCCCCTCAGCCTGTGTCCTGAAAAAAAAGGAGTCCGCCCATTGGGTCCTGGCGTCCAAATGGCTGCAATGGGGAGGACACGCTAGGCAGCACCCCCTTATATGCTGGGCTCTTTTTGTTTCTTTGGCAGCTGAGCATTGAAGAGAAGGGGGACAGACGCTCCATCCATAGCACAGATATGGTCAGTATCCAAGACCCCCTCTCCCTGGGAATTCGGGGCAGTGGGAGCATGGGATGACGCTGAAGGAGACAGCAGGGAGACATGGAGTGGGAGCACCTGCCCATGCCTTTTCTTTCTGCCCCCTTTCTTTCCAGCTCCTATAGCATCTACCTATCCGGAGCTGAAATGCTTGCTGGCCACAGATACCCCTCTGGCAGAAGGACACAGAGATTTCCCAACTTTGCAGAGGAAATGCTCGTATGGAGATCTCTCCATTCTGGAAGTGCAGAAATACGTGAAACATGCATATATGAAGATGGCTCTGGCATGAAAACAAGATGAAGGCTGACCCTGAGTATGCAAGCCGCAAGCGAAAGCATTATGGCACCAATGTATATGTATGTAGACCAAAACAGACGGTTGAAGTCAGGGTTGTGTATACTCTGGAAAACTGGAAGAGGACGGAGTGATTTCCTTTGGCAGTGTATGGACATTGGGCACAGTGTCCGTTCCTCAATTTAGTGCAACCCAAAAGTTTCTACTTCAAATCAAAGATATGGTTTTCTCTGTGGAAAACTACATTTGGCCAAGCTAAGTAAAAATAAATTGCATTCATCTAAGGCTGCTGCTGTATGGATTACATATTGGATTCCTTTTACAGGAGTTATATCTACCTGAACTGTAACCAATTATTATACTGCGGCTTCGTACAGAACATAGTATTCCAAATACAAACAATTTGGTGTTGAGTTGTGTCTGGCTATTGAGCCCATCAGCCCCAAGCCAGTACAGTATACAATGTCCCATTCCCTATGCAACTAGGCTGAAAAGCCACTGGTGGGTTCTTCTCAAAGCATACCCAATGTTGCATGAACCAACACAATATCCTCTGCTCAACTGCAGTATAAAGCCATTCACCAACACTGCAAAGATTGGTTTGCACAAGTCAGAGCACACTGGTTCAGATAAACAGGCACTGTTCTAGAGGAATCCCTGCTAAACTAGTAAGACACTCACATGAAATCTTCTATTGGGCAATTGCACTGTTTTGTTGTGATTTTTTTTTAAATATAGAGTATTACCCGTGCACCCCCCCCCCCCACCCCCAATCCATGGAAGACACATTCCTGGACTAATGTAGAAACATTAAACAAAATAGCAAACCCTTAATTTTGTCAATGTGATGAACAATTGAAGTATTGAGTAAAGGGCATAGCTTGTAAGGAGACCCTAAGTGAAACCACATAATTCAGTTCTGTGGATATGAGGATCATACTGTATGTCCAGTTATCCATTTACAATCCACCTGTACTTTCCCACCACTTTCTTTGTTAGAAAAAAATGAGAAAAAGATGGAATACCTTACCCTAAATGCACACAACCTGATGTTAAGCAGGTTTGGCTTGTTCACCAAGGGAATGCCAGGGGTCTCCAGGTGGAACTTGGAAGTTACCTTGGTAAGCCACTGCTACGAGCCAGTTAATAATAGCCGTCTATACAGAGCAATATTCTGATTTGGTGACTTCCTATGTCCATCAACATTGCCAGAAGCTCACCATCTGGAAGTCCCCTCAATTCCAGGTCACCAAATTTTCTGTGGCTTCACTAGCGTATCAATCTATTGCTTCTGCAATAAAAGCCACAGCTAACCAATTCTCAACCCACTCAAATAGTCATAAAGCACAGTCCAGGTCACTTTGGAGAGGCTTTGTCTACCCCTCTATCCTATCGTTGATGTTTCCTTGTGGCTGGTCCAAGAATGCTGAAATAGCATGAAGATACAGGGTATGGCCTGTGCCATCATCACACAGATCTGGGTTGCTCATGCTGGCCTAATTCTACACCAAGGGATCCTGACCTTTCAGAATATTCCTTGATATGCAATCCAGGTAATGGTTAAGAAGTGTGGGCACACCACTCAAGTAACAGATGAGGTGTTTTTCATTGCTACCCTTGATTTGTGAGCTGCAAACCCAGTAAGCCATCTACCCAAGAGCATTGTCACTGCTTTAGAGCTCAGCAGCAGCACCGCATGATTTCCTGCTACATTAAATTACCCTCGATTGGAGCATCAAAAGGTAAACTATTGGACAAGGCAGATAGTAATGTGAGCTAGTAATATACTCAGGATGGGAGCTATAGCTGTGGATGCACTCTACATAAGCTCCACTGCATCCCAAAGGGTTGTTTCCATTTTCAAGGAGAAAGGTTCTGACTTATGGCTTTGAGGCAAGCTTGGATGAGTGTAGACAATGTCTAATAAACTCTTCAAAGGTTGGAAGTAGGAGTATCTCACTGAGATTTATGATGAGCTGGGGAAAATAGGATTCATGCCCTCCCTAACATGAGCTAAAATAGAATTCATTTTGCAAAGTAAAGAAATATATGCCAATGCAACCCTTCTGAAAGGAAGTCAATTTCTTTCTTTCTTTGAAAGGCAGAGTACTTAACAACCCCAGTAATTGTGAAAATGCAGCAGGCAAGCTTTTACAATGATGGGCAAACAGCAGCTGCAAAGGAAGTGCAATCAGCAAGATGGTGGGTGGCATAGATATGCAGATATAAGTTGCTGTACAGTTGGATGACCTAAATGAGCTGCAAGGTTGTTGAAGCAAGCTGATATGCCAATGGAGAATGACACATTAGTATATGGAAATAGGTAGAGATAATACATGCACACACAGAAACATTTGTGTGTGTATATACATCTGTGCGTAGGTGTATATATAGCTTGGGAAGTGGTTACACACATCAAGTGTTCAGGCGCTAGTGTCAGCGGCATCTGGTTGGATGAATGGAATGGGCAAACTGCTACATGGCAACGCAAAAGAGGAAAGTGCACACCCCCATAAGGGTGCCCAGGCAGGCTTTGGTGAGCTTCTCAGAGTATCTCTCTGCCAGGGGGGGATCCCCACCCTACCCTGACCCACAGGGTCTCTCGTTGCAGCTTCCCCTGCGCCCAGCCCCACAGCTGTGACCCCTCCACCTCATTTGTTCTCCCCAGTGGTGGAGATCCATTGTACATTCAGGCGAGAGGCTCCCTGGGGCAGGGCGGTTTCCCCCATCACCTCTCCAGAAAGAACTTGAGGGCACGGGAGATGTTCATGCGATGCCCAACTCGTGTCACACCCAGGTCAATGAAATCTTCCTTGGTGAGGGACGGTAGATGAGAGCCATCGATTTCGTTGTCCAGGAACCGGTCGCGGTGCTCCCCCAGCTTCAGGTAATCTAGCCAGTCGGCCACATCGTATTTGGTCCAGAAAGGCAGCGGCTTGGAGCCAAAGGGCTTGTCCGTGGCTGGCGGCAAGAAGTGGGTAGGAGACAAGGAACGGCTGCCGGAAGGGAAACCCGGGAAAGGGTGCTCACCCCCAGAGGTGGGAGAACCACGGAGATCAAATACGCCAGTGTATATGGGCACAGAAGGCAGGATGGGAAGGGAAGAAGGCCTTGGAGTGGGGCTGATCTTGTGCTCACTGGGCAGGGCGGCTGGGCTGGGGGCGCGCCGCAGGGCTGGGCGAATATCAAACTCCACGCTTTTGGGATGCTTGCCCTGGGGGGACTTGGGCCAGTTGTGGAAAAGGCTGCTTACAGGCTTGGAGGAGATCAGTGATGGGGATGTCTCATCAGGGAGCCTGCAGGAAAGGAGAAAAGGAATGAGAGACTTATTAGCATCCACAGTGCTCCCTTCTGGAAGATAACAGGAGAAGGAACGATCAGAACGAGACAGGTGCTTCTCCACAACACTCTCTTTGATGGGCTTCACTCTCTTTGATGCAACACTCTCTTTGATGGGCTTCACCCAACCAGGTGCTCTCCAAGTGCACTACACTGCAGCTTTCCATAATCCTCAAACAAGGAGTCCAAAACATTTTGAGGGCATCACCTTGGAAAAAAACTGCCCTATAAGTCCTGTTTGCATACCCATCACAAGCCTTGGATTTCTGAAACCTTCACAGAAATATAAACCTTAAAGCAGCTGTGGAAAGTTTATGTGAACTCGAAGTTCTCCGTTGCTTTGTGGGTCTCTTCTATCAAAATCACCTGCAACAAACTGTTTCTTCTGTTCCTGGACAACAGTGAGGGCAATTTTTACTTCACCACAACAAAGACTTACAGGAAAAAAAATATTAATTCCTGTCCCCCAAACCAAAATACAGATTGTGGTTTCCCTCTGTTGTCTTAGATGAACGAAGCAGCAAGAAGACAAAACAGAGTGAAAATATCCACACGACAGAGCACTATATATATCTTAACTCACATAAGCCTTCTGAACAAGAGGGAAACACTTCTGCACAAAGTATTAAAATTCCTTATAAAATGACACCCAACAGATATTTCTTCCCTGTTAGTTTTGGAAGAACAGGAAAAACTAAAGATTGTATTATTATCTGTATCAGTCTTGCTCAACCTTGCACTTTCCAGATGTTGTTGGACTATCATTCCCGTTGTCCCTGGGCAGCATGTAAGGGTATTAGCCAACTGCATCTGGAGGATACCAAGCTCTATATGTTACTTTATCTATGATGAAAGTCGCCTCTCTATTTCTGCTCTCCTTGCCTATATGGCTTCCATGTAAGTGGTCTTGCCACTGACAAACACTGCCAGCAGTAGATAGTATGGGAAGTCTTTCTAGGATCCCGGGGTTGGGAGTAATGATCCATGGTGCAAATTACACAAGGAATGCCATAAAGTAAAAGGAAGCATGCAAATCAAGTGCATCCCATGAGGTGCAAAGTGCTTACCCAGACTATGTATGAGAGTCTCAAATCCCTTTTTCATTTTTGTAGGTCCTCCCCAAAAGTGCTCCTTGAATCCTTAAGGGACATGGGAGTAGTTTTGCCCTGCTTTAACTTTTTATAATCTGGAAATAAACCAGAAAATGGCCTCTCCTGTTAAAAAATGGCTTCTCCAGAACCTGAAAAAGCAAACATATGATAAAATCCCCCTTTCCCCCATAGAGATGGTAGGGGCATTTCAGGGACTGGGGCAGAGAAGGTTCTGTTTATTAGCCTTCTGATATCTGGTGGGGGCTGCATGTGGAAACAGAACAAGTATTCCAGTGAAGAATAGAAAAATGTCAGCCAGAACTCCTTGCTAAGAGTATCTTATACCTTCCTCCGAACCTTTGTCAAACACGTCCTTATTTTAATGGACCCTACTAGGGCTGAATTCAGCCTGTAGATTAAGGCCCTTTCATGCTGCACATTATGTAACTGCCATGGCTGCATCCTAAGGATTCCTGGGATTTGCAGTGTTAACACTATTATCATTTAATTGTTATAAAACTTTTTACTGCACTTTTTAAACCTGTCTTGTGTGGGATTGTTGGCCACCTTGAGTCCCCATGGGGAGAAAAGTGGGTTATAAATAAAGCTAATAATAATAATAATAATAATAATAATAATAATAATAATAATAATTCTCAGCCAATGGAAGTTAAAGTGGAATCACAGCACCTATGTGGCACAAAAAATCCTGCATTGTCAAAATGCAAGAGTTGTAGCTCTCTCCAAGCAAATTCATTTCCATTTTTTTAAATGACCCAAAAGACATCAGAATTTTTGGCATCACCATAGGTGCTTCCAAAGCCATCCCCTGATTATGCTCATCAAGAGGGAAAAATAACTTTTTCAGACCAATTCCAGGACTGACAGGAGGTCACGTGTGGTTCAAGGCTCTCCTCTACAGTGCCTGAGAAGAGGAAGGCATTTCAAGATAATAACCCATCTCTGAGATGTGTAACTTTATGGCTTTTCCTTGGGGGATTTGCACCATCATCTCAGGTTTTGGGGAAGATCAGGCATAACCAGTCAGTAACTCCAGGTCTCACTGCAAGTCGGTTTGAGTGGATGGATCAAAGAAAACTTGCCTACTCAGTGTCTCTTTGGGAAAGAGATACTGAGTAGGCACCCAGTGAGATTTCGATGAAGAGAGAGATTGCAAGGATATTTTTTGTCACCTCCCTTCTTAATCTACAATGATTCAGGAACACCGATTTCTCGCCTACCAATGACTACTATTTCTTTATCCCAGTGCATATTCTATACCATTGAACAACCACCTCCACTTTCTCAAAGAGCTCAGAATGTATGCCTCCTCCTGTTATAGTCTGTCAGTCCTTGAAAGCAAGCTACACCCTAGTTAAGAACCCAGCTCTTCCCCAGAAAATGCAAAAGTCTTGTTGCCCAGGCAGTCTCTCCAAAGACAACATGCCTTGATTGGGTGTCAGGTGCAAGATATCTGTCTTTCTGTTGCTTAAATCAACATCATTGGAGGAACTGCAATAAATTCTCCCGGCACAGATGTGACTGCAGATGAATGACAGAATGGAGCAAATAAAACTCAGCAATGTGACTGCATTGAGAATGGAGGTTGGGGGGGGGGGCTGTTTACCCACAACACATGTATACTCACACTGGTACATGTACACATGCAGTGTTTAATGCACCGGGGCCATCTTAACCCCTTCTGGAAGCAGAGAGGATGTCAGCAAGAAAGCAACCTCAGCAAAAAAGGAGATGAACCAGGCACCGCAGATACCATGATACCGAAGTGGATGGTGAAAGAGTTAGATTGCAAATCTCCTAAGACCATGCCTCTAAGAGCCAAAACTCCTCCTGCTACAACACTCTAGAATAAGTAGGCTTCAGACTGTATTTAAGGAAATCTAAATAGCCCTCAGCAATCTGGGGTCCAGACTTCATCATCATTGTGTGTAGTGATATGGACTGGGTAGAGAGATCAGTTAATTGAGCACTGATGTGTCAGAGAAGAAGAAGTGGCTATTCAGAGTCCAGTTCCAAAACCTGGGTAGACCTCCATTTAGTCAGCCCCTGACGAAATGGAGAGTGCCCTCAAATGTACTCTGCAGCCTTCTACAATTCTTGAGTTGCATGAGAAGCAAAAGCAATTATAGCAATGCATTTCTTTCAGTCTCAGAGGCAGTGTGTCTCCGATTTCCTTTGACTGGGAAGCACAACTGGGAGAGATGGTGAAATTGATCAAATGTCTTGCTCGTGCCCTTCACAGAGTCATCTAGTCGACCACTGTGGAAACAGAACATTACGCTAGATTAGGGATGGATGAGAATTTTGCTTCGATTCTTTTTCCACACTTCCAAAGTCTGGATGTGGGAGAGAATAAAATTGATAGATTTGCACACTGTGTTTCTATTTTAAAGTCCATGGCAACATCCAATGAAATCCTGGGTTTGCACTTTAGGGTGGGGTACTTAGAATTCCTTATCAGAAAACTTTCATGCCTCACCAAACTACAAACCCAGGATTCCATAGGAGGCCGCCATAGCTGTTAAGGCAGTACTATAATATTATTTTTTGTGGTGTGAAAGAGACTCCAGTTTGATAAAAGTTTTGTCAGTTAGTATCCTCATCAACATCAACAATGAAGCATGATGGCTTCTCTAGTTATATAAAGCCAGAGATCCAAAGAATCAGGGGAGAATGTCATAATTATATAAAACAACACTATGACACCAGGAGAATTTCCCTGAAAATGAGAGGGAATCAAAAAAGCAAAATGCTTCCATGCTTGGTGAAGAACACAGGCTATCATATGATCTCTCCAGAAGGACAGGACTGAGAAGGTGTCTACTTCATCACACTAGAGAATGAATCCATTTTAAATCCGGTTTGTGCCTCCTGCAGAATTAAGAGGCTGTTAAAGGCTCCTCCCTAAACTACAAACCCCAGAATTCTGTAGGAGGCATCAACCGGATTTAAAATGGATTCATTCTCTAATGTGATAAGGTCCGGAAGACCTACCAGCTTTGAGCTCCTACCACTTTTGTTGAATCAGTCAACTGTTTACAAGATTCAAATGCATACCTTTAAAGAAGCACAGCTGCAGCAGGGAACTTTCACCAAGTGCATTTTCCCTGAGGAACTTGCCAGGGGATTTTTGGTTAGTTTATGTGAGTTTCAAAACACTCCCCTGACTCTTTAAGAGCTTTAGCAGATAGAAGTTCTTTGTTCAACATTAAGGGAAGACTCCAAACTAGTTACCACTCTGAAGATACTTGCATGATTTTTTTTTTAGTCTAGACACATTACACAAGGGGGCAGGTTTATTGTTTGTAGAATGCACACACAGAGAGACTCAAAGGCCCCTCACATACATTAATAAGGAGCTGTTTTTTTGGATGTGACTGCATGATTTGTCACACAATGGACAAGATGTGCTCCTATATCAGTCAATTTATGCATGGGAGAGCAACAAGGAATGGTCTGTAAGTAGAGATATAGCAAGCACATACGCTGTGAATACATTCCCCTCCCCCAATCAGAATGACACATGAGGTGATCCTTTTGCCCTGTGTCTGCAAGCACACCAAATGAAGCAATGGTAGTAAAAAAAAATCATTAAAAAAGAAAAGCCAAGCATTGACGGGAGAATGAGAAAAGGAGACAAACCCAACTGAAACACGAGATGCAGCATGCACGGGGCTGGCTTCCTGCTTCCTGCTCCTCCTCCTCCTGCTCCAGCCGCCTAGTACCTTTGCCTCTGTAGGGAACTGGGCCTCTCAGAGCCGAAGGGGGCCACCGCATCTGGTGGCCGTGACCACGACACCCCGCCCATCTGCTGCAGCTTGGTGCTCAACTCGCTGATGATGCTGGCCTTCATGGTGGACAAGGGGGAGGCCTTAGGCTCCTCCCAGGGCAGCGGAGATTTCTGTGGCAGCTCTTTGCCTGGCTCAGGGGCTGCTGGCTGCTGGTGGTAGGGTGGGGCAGGCGTGAGGGCAAACATGTTCTCTGTACATGCGGAAACTGAGATGGTAGAGCTAGTGGGGGTGGCCACTGGCAAGCGGCCTGGGAAGGGCCGGGAGCGCAGCTTTGTCTGCAATGGGCTCTTGTCTGTGGTGCTGCTGCCACTACCACCACTGCCAGTTCCTCCTCCTCCGCCTCCTGCGCTGCTACTTCCCCCAAAGGCTTGTCCATCCAAATAGGTGATGTAGGTGTCCAAGAGCTCTGTGCCTTCCCCAGACATGCTGGACAATGTAGATACACTACTGATGGTCTCCAAATGATGGTCGCTACTGCTTCGGCTATCTACCTCCTCGATCCCCGAGTCCGTCACGGCTTCTGAAGCCTCCGCTGCAGGGATGGCAATTGATGAGACAACAGAAGAAAAGTTAACATGAGGGGCCTCCTTGGTTTCAGAGGTCCCAGACTGGGTCAGGGTAGCCACCTCACTGTCATAGGATGTTAAGCTGGAAGCGGTGGAATCTAAGGTGGTAGGGGCCGGGGGAGCAGCTGGAGGGGCTACTGCTGTGGGCAACTCGTTTGCCCCTTTAGGTGGAGACTCGGGTTTATCAAAGCTATTCGAGAACTCAAGGGGGGGCGGAAGTGGCTCAGTGAAGACAAATTCATCATCAACGTCAATGGAAGGGGCTGGTGGAGGCAAGACCAGTAGCGGGAGTCCGTTTGCTTCGGCCACCCGCTCCATTGGTGCAGCAGCAACCTCCACCTTTCCACTCTCACGGCTTCCTTCCTGCTCTTCCTCTTCCTCCTCTGTTGGGCGACAGTTCTCCATAAAACGCACATGAAGTTCCAGCTTCTCCCCTTCTTCAGGCCGTTTCTCCCAGGGCGCAGCTTTGGCTGAGGCTGGTGGTGGGGGTGGCTGCTGCTGTTCAGGCAAATGACGTCGGGGGCTCTCTGGTTCTTTCCGGGGTGATGCTGGACGTTGATGGAGGTGGTGATGCTGCTGTTGTTCTGATGTCCCCCAGAGACGCAAGATAGAGCTGCCAGGAGATTCAGGAGTCTTTGGTGACTCTCCAAACCGGGGTGAGCACGGACGCGAGTGCCTATCTTCTCGGCTTTCCTGATGGGACTGAGACTCTTTCAAGGCCCGCTCACGAGCCACTAACGCCAGCCCCAAAGGGGATCCGGGATCTAAAATCTTGCCTGTCAGGGGGTGAATGAGAGGAGTCGAATGGGGCTGGAAGTGCGGCAGGAAGCTGGAGCACACAGAGGTGAAGGCGCTGGTGGTGCTGGCTCCATATGTTTTAGCGGCACGAGACTGAAGGTAAGCAGAGCTGCTACCAATACCAGTGCTGCCCCCAAAGCTGGGAGCCATGTTTAGCTGGATGTATGGCTCGCTAGAGAACATGCCTTCATCAATGGATTTGGAGTGGCGAAGACGAGGCATGGGGGTCTGCTGGGAGTCATCATCAGGCTGCTCAGTGGAGAGGAAGAGGGCAGACTTGCGGCGAGCCTCACTGTACCATTCGCGGTCCCGGCGGGCAGCACCAACCAGGGCTGCGCCGAATTGACTGGTGAAATCCATGCTATTGTGGAGTTGGAGGGAGGGGACAGGCACTACTGGCTCTGGCTGGCTCTCCGCCTCCATGCTGCTTCCTTGACTGCTGCGCCCGCTGCTGCTGGTAGACGGAGCTTTAATGATGATAGTGGGGATTGGGATAGAGCTCTTCTCAGGTGGCGCAGATGATGGGGGCTGCAAGGAGGATGGCTGCATGGGCGAGGGGGGTGTACTGCCCTGTTGCTGCTGTTGCCGTTGCTCATCCTCCACTTTGGTCTGCTTGACCAAAGGCCCCTTGCGGCGCATGGGCTTAGTGGGGACGTACATGGCGGTGTTGGTTGCTCGCGGGGGCAGGTTGTAGTAACGGAGGTCAGGGGTATGGCCTCGCCAGCCACGGGCAGTTGCCCCTTCTGCTCCCTGCTCAGACTCTTGGCGGTAAAGAGACATCTTGTCGCGGATGCGGGGTGGCGGCTCATAGGGTGGTTCTTGATGTAGCGAAGCTGAATACAACTTGGCCTCGGTGCTAGGGTTGAAGGTCGAGCGGGCTGAGGGAGTAACACGTCCGGAAGCAGAGGGTGAGGTACTGCTGTAGGGAGGGTCAGGTGGGGAAGTGGTTGGAGGAGGTGGGATGTCATCAGAACCAGGGACTGAAAGGCTGCGGCTAAACTTCATGCCAGGGGGAGCGAGGTAGGGCTTATCATCTTCAGCAGTTCCTGCGGAGGAAAGCAATGCAACCGTGATTGAATTGTTCTCTCTCTCCAATGTCTAAAGAACCAGAATGATCCTGCTCCTAACCTAGTTCAATTGCTCCATATTTATTTTTGTGAAATTTTATTAAACATGTAAACATAATAAACTCATCTCATGGGTAAACATTTACTTATAAATAAAATTATAAGTATAATAAATAAATAAATATAAATAACATTATTATTAATTCCATTAATACTTATTGCCACATAATTAGCTACTAAGTTATTGCTTCAATAATGGACTTGCTCCAACATGCCATAGTAAGCCATTGTATGATGAATGCTTCAGACAAAAGAAACTATGACCATTTCCCACCAAACTTCATTTGTGAAGGCCCCCATTTAGTACCCTCCAGATGTTTTGGCCTACAAACTGCATCAAACCCACACCCAGATGGCAAGGCTTGAAGGGGATTGGAGGCCAAAACATCCATCCAGGTTGTGAAAGGTTCCCTTAATAAATAATTTAATTCCTCCACTTTTCCTCTTCACCCCAGGCCTTATTTGACTCCCTCCAAACCCTGTCTCACCAATAGATTTCTGACGGAGCATCATGCCTGGCGGATGACTGGTTGGCAAGTATGATGGGCGCTCATAGCTGGTTTGACTAAGACGGTGCTGTTCAAAACTGGGCTGAAAGAAAAGAAAGAAAAAAGTGTGTGAGAGAAAGACAAAGCAAAGAACCAGCAAACAAGGCATCAAGAGCAAGTGAAAGGAACAGAGATTGGCATATTTTTGGGGCCACAACAATTGAAGAAGTAAAATGGACCCAAACCCCCCCCCACCCCCCCCCCCCCCCAAAAAAAAAAAAACCAGGGTAAGGGCTTGTGGGAAAAAGTCTTACTCTGAAAGCTAAGTGAGGGTTAGAAATGCTGAGTAGTCATTAGTACTAGATTTAAGCACAAGGTACACGACAGTTTACCAGACTATGAGAAGCTTCTAAATGCATTATGAGGAGCTTCTAAACAAAAACAAAAGAAATCTGTGTTTTTGTTTCTGCTACAATAGTGCACTTTTGTGTCTTAAATATGGTGCTACTCAAAATCTGTGTGTCTTAATCCAGCTCTGATAGAACCAGAAGGACCAAAAGGACCGCGTAGTCCAATACCCTGCCATGAAGTAATAGGCCACTAAAGCTCTCCTGAGCAATGGATGTTCTTCCTAATGTTAGGTGGAACTTCTTTTCTTGCAATTTGACTTCTCTTGTATATGTCCTAGTCTCTGAAACAGCTGAAAATAAGATTGCTCCATATGACATCCCTGTATCAAAAGAAGGCTGTTCTTTCACTTCTTAATCTTTTCTTTCCCAAGCTAAACATACTCTACTTCCTAATCTATTCCTCATAGTGAGGTATGAGCAAAGCAGTATACATTGCTTCTACTCTTTCTCTTAGCCTGGAAACTATACTCTTCTTGATACAAGCCAAAACTGAACAGTGAAGAAAATTGGAATGCCTTACTTGGAGTGACCATTTCAAATCCCAAATAAGAATACTCTTGTTAGAAGAAAATATATATTGCTAATTCTTGAGCCAATTTAGTTCTCTCTGATAGTGAAACTTGGGCTTAAAAACCCCTGCTAAGACAACTACTCCAGAGCAGCAGAGGTGGAATGCCAACCCGCCAAAAAGGTATTTTTAAATAAACGACAACAAAGGATTAAAAAAAGGAAGCAGGGATATTTTACAAAATGATGAAACATCTCAAAACAATGTTGTACTCCAGTAGTGCTGGATTACTACCTCCATTGACAATAAGAGTTGTAGTACAGCACATCTGAAAAGTGAAAGACTAGGAAAAGTTACTGCTATGACAATAGCCGAGCATTATTATTGTCTTCTTTCAAAGTCATCACTGGGTGCATTCAGCAGCCATAGTCCTCCATCCTACCTCAGCAGAGAAATAGTTCTTGGCGGTGCCCCGGGATTTTCCCAAGGAAGGAAGCCCTCCACTGTCACCAACGCTGATTGTTTGTTGAGCTGCTGCCAGGATCTCATCCAATTTGTCTGCAATGAGAGAGAGGCAAGAAGAGGTAACCCATCATAAAAGAGCAAAAACCCTAATCATTACAGTAGAGTTCCTCATAGGGAGCAGCCCTAACCCTTAGGCTTTCATGGTTGGAATTCCTGGGTTGCTGTGAGTTTTCCAGGCTGTATGGTCAGTTTCCAGAAGCATTCCTTCCCGATATTTCGACCACATCTATGACAGGCATCTTCAAGGTGGCCAATTGCAACATTCACACTTGCCTCAAACAGACAAAAGTTATTTCTCCATCCCTGGACATTCCACAGATTATATAAACCTCACTTGCCTAGTTTCCAACAGACCTCACAACTTCTGAGGATGCCTGCCATAGATGTGGGCAAAACATCAGGAGAGAATGCTTCTAGAACATGACCACACAGCCTGGAAAACTCACAGCAACCCAATATTCTTCTTGATTGGAGCAGTCTCAAAAGTAAATAGAATTTACGAATCTTAGTTGGCTTTTCTGTGCACTAAAAACCAGCTGTCTTTTGGGTAGTCTTTTAAAATTAAATTACACCTCATCCTTCTAGAATCCTTCTCATTAATCCTTCTCATTAAATTGGCACCTTCCATTGGCTCCTTTTAGGAATTACTGCACTCACTGAGCCTGAACTCAGCTATGTCCTTTTATCTCAGCCATATTGTTTTTATGATGTTGTTATGACTGTGTTTGTTTTATTATTTGATTTTAATTGTGTCTCTGTTTTCATCTGTATTTTCAGGCCTATCCCTTTGTAAGCTGCCCCAAGTCCCCTAGGAGAGATGGTTGGCAGGGTATAAAAATAAAGTTGTTGTTGTTGTTATTGTTATTATTTACTCCTCATCCTTCTAGAATCACCACTCTGTTATAAATTTATGCCAAGGGAAAGTATATGTAAGATCCAGGAGAGCTAACCAAGTTAACTTTAGTGTACATTCTTGAAGAATGAGATCAAAGATCAAATCCAGCACAGATGTTCCCAAGATATCTTTTGTACTGGGATCAGGTACATTGAAAATATATTCATACATTCCCAGGTTATAAGTTAGAACAAGTATGGGCAAACTTGGGCCCTCCAGGTGTTTTGGACTTAAACTCCCACCATTCCTAACAGCCTTAGGCTCTTTCCTTTTTCTCCTCAGCTGCTTAAGCAGCTGAGGAGAAAAAGAAAAGAGCCTGAGGCTGTTAGGAATGGTGGGAGTTGAAGTCCAAAACATCTGGAGGGCCCAAGTTTGCCCGTGCCTGGTATATATTGTGATTTTAGTATGAAATAATGAAGCTTATTTTTAATATGTTGTAACCAGACTCTGGATATTAACCCAGAAAGGTGGCATATAAATAAATATTTAAATAAATAAATAACATTCCAGCTCTTAAGCATTTCCCAGCTTTAGGGATCACTCAATCATATGTGTGCAAAAACATCCTCCTACCTAGTGACAGAATTACCGGGTTCCGGGGCAGGGGGAACATGCGTTTTTACTCACTCAAAGCCATCTGATAGACAGTCCGCTTCTTATCAGTGCCCATCGCTGGCTCATAATCTGCAGAGACAACAGGAGGGGAGGATAACAGGGGGTGCAGGGGGTGGGAATCGGTAATGGTGCACCAGGGAGGGCAGGTTTGTGAGGCTGCTCGCAGGGGAGTGGGTGGCAGTATGGATGAGAGCATCGGTGGGAGAGTGCAGAGCAGGCTTGGGTAGGAGGCAATGAGAGGGAAACAAGTGGGTCCGTGAGTGTGTGGAGGGGGGTGAGGAATGTGAGGCACTCACCTGTTTTCTTCTTCCAGGGGGAGACTGGATAGTGGGGGGGAGATAGTAAGAGGGGAAGACATTAGCACTGCCACTTGTGTGGGGGGCAGACCATTGGGAGGGAGGCTTGAAGCCCTCCCTTTAGACCATGAAATCAGTAGGACGGACATGACAACGGGTAGAAGATGCTAGAGGAAGAAAGAACTGGGGACAGGAAGCCATCTGTTCCTGACTGAAGCTGTGGATGTGGGGCAAGCAACTCCCTTACTCAGTGTTATAAGCACAGGCAGACCTATAGCTTTCTCTGAAACAATCTAAGTCAGGCATGGGCAAATTTTCTAACTTGAGAGCTGCATGCTAGCACTCCGTGCTAGGAGAACTGATTGGAGGGAGGAAAGAGGGAAGGAAAGACAAAAGGGAAAAAAGGAATGAAGAAAGGAAGGAAGAAAGGAGGAAGGAAAGCGAGAAAGAAGGAAGGACGAAAGGCTGGAAGGGAATGGAGGGAGGGAGAAAGAGGAAGAGAGGAAAGGAAAGGAGGGAGGGAAGAGGGAAGGACGAATGGGAAGGATGAAAGGGTGGAAGGGAATGGAGGAAGGGAGAAAGAGGGAGAGAGGAAAGGAAAAGACAGAGGAAAGAGGGAAGGAAGGACAAAAGAGAAGGAAGGATGAAAGGGTGGAAGGGAATGCAGGGAGGGAGAAAGAGGAAGAGAGGAAAGGAAAGGAAAAGTGTGAGGAAAGAGGGAAGGAATGACGAAAGGGAAGGAAGGATGAAAGGGTGGAAGGGAATGGAGGGAAGGAGAAAGAGAAAGAGAGGAAAGGAAAGGAGGGAGGAAAGAGGAAAGGTCAAAAAGAAAGGAAGGATGAAAGGCTGGAAGGGAGAAAGAGGGAGAGAGGAAAGGAAAGGAAAAGTGGGAGGAAAGAGGGAAGGAAGGACGAAGGAGAAGGAAGGATGAAAGGGTGGAAGGGAATGGAGAGAGGGAGAAAGAGAAGGAGAGGGAAGGAGGGAGGAAAGGGAAGACAAAAGAGACAGAAGGATGAAAAGGTGGAAGGGAAAGATGGAAGGAAGGAAGAGAAGGGGGAAGGAAAAAGAGATGGGAGGAAGGATGAAAGGGAAGGAAGGGAGGAGGGAGGGAGGGAGGGAGGGGAGGAAGGAAGGAAGGAAGGAAGGAAGGAAGGAAGGAAGGAAGGAAGGAAGGAAGGAAGGAAGGAGAAAGAGGAAGAGAGGAAAGGAAAGAAAGACAAAAGGGTGGATGGGAAGGAAGGAGGAAGCGAGAAAGAGGAAGGGAAGGGAGGGAGGGAAGAAAGAAGGAAAAAGAGAAAGGAAGGAAGGATGAAAGGGTGGAAGGGAAGGAGAAAGTGGGAGGGAAGGAGGAAGGAAATAGAGAAGGAAGGAAGGATAGGATGGTGTGAGAGAGGAGGGCCTGAGAAAAGAGCCCAAGGGGCTGCATCCGGACCCCGGGGCTGGGTTTGCCCATACCTGATCTAAGTGTTACATAATTCATGATAACAAAATTAAGAACAAGCCCAATAGTCTCTTAACCTGGAGGGGAAGGGTGGGTGGATGGGTCAATTGCTGTTTTAGCTGTGATCCCCATCAAGTCTAGCCACAAAAACCAATAGAATCACATGAGTTGCAGTCCAACAACTGGAGGAATACATGTTCCCCATCTCTGTGTTTCTGACTGGAGATCTAAAGAAAAGCCTGCAGGCACTTGTACCGAAGTGTCATTTATAGTAAATAGCTCAAGTTACTTCTCTATATGGCTTGGCTATTCTAAAAGGATTTCTTATCTCCCCACCCTACAAAAGCTCTCCCTAAAGGCCTTCTTGCTAAAGCTTTCCCCCTCTACATAGGATGGCTGACAACACTAGATAGAACGAGGTCGTGGATCAGGGATCATTATTTATTCCTTAAATAATGAGCTGACTCACAACAACACAAAAGGGAGGGGGGATTTTCTCCATTTCTGAGAAAAAAGAGCAGCATATGTTCACATGTCTGTATATGTTATCTAGGAAATAGTTTGATTATTTTTGCAGCAATATTGGGGGATCAATTGACGGAGCAAGAACTCACCTTTCTCAACTGGGAAAGTCACAGTTTGGGAGTCCCAGGCAGCAGTGATGGACAGAAAGAAAAATTAAACAGAAAAGAAGCAAATAATACCTCCTATAACAATACCACAAAAGGAGGGGATAGGGAGGGCTATGTTGTGGGAGGGCTATGATCATGCTAGCTTAGGCATGGGCAAACTTGGCCTTCCCTCCAGGTGTTTTGGACTTCAACTCCCACCATTCCTAACAGCCTCAGGCCCTTTCCTTTTCCCCCTCAGCCGATGGGAAAAGGACCAATGTTTGCCCATGCCTGTGCTAACTGGTAAATATGGGAGATGCAGTTTTCAAAAAGTGACTTTTCAGATGTCTGCAGTGCACTGCCTCCTCCCCTTTGTTGAGAATGTCTTTTCATATCTATGAGGGCTCATCAGATGAGAAAGTCATTCCCCGCACAAAGATTGCTATAGTCATTGTAGGATCTCAAGTCATTCCCAACTTACAGTAACCCATATCATAGGGTTTTCTTGAAAATATTTGTTTGGGGTGGTGCCTTTGTCTTCCTCTGAGGTTGGGAGAGTGTGACTTGCGCAATGTCACCAGTGGGTTTCCGTGACTGTGCGGCGATTCAAACCGTGGTCTCCAGAGTCATCTCGTTTAATGCTCAAACTGCTACACCAGGGAGGACAAATTCCTGCACATCTTTTGAACTGGAAATAGTAACCCCCTACCACACTTACCCATTTCTTCCAATTCAGAAGTCATCGATTTTGAACGCAAGGAGATGGCTGGAGGCGGCAGGCGTCTTGCCTGCTGTGGTGCAGCAGCTGGAATGAAAAAGAAACAAACAGTTGTGAGATCTTGTCTTTTTAAACAAACCCACAACCTCTGGATGCCATCATTAGCCCTTCCTCGGATTAGAGGTGGAAATTGTCAACTATTTCATCCTTGCATGAAAAGACAAAAAAATGGTAATTTCCCCCTCGCCACAGGACAAAATGTATATTCTTCCCTAAAATGAACTTTTGAATACAGGGAGAGATTATGCTACAGAAAAAAAAATCTGCAAAAAAATCCTACTAGATTGTCCCAAGGGTAGAATTATAGAATCATAGAGTTGGAATAGACCTCATGGGCCATCCAGACCAACCCCCTGCCAAGAAGCAGGAAAATCCCATTCAAAGCATCCCCGACAGTTGGCCATCCAGCCTCTGTTTAAAAGCTTTCAAAGAAGGAGCCTCTACCACACTCTGGGGCAGAGAGTTCCACTGCTGAACAGCTCTCACAGTTAGGAAGTTTTTCCTAATGTTCAGGTGGAATCTCTTTTCCTGTCGTTTGAAGCCATTGTTCCGCGACCTAGTCTCCAGGGCACCAAAAAAACAAGCCTGCTCCCTCTTCCATATGACTTCCCCTCACATATTTATATGGGCCATCATGTCTCCCCTCAGCCTTCTCTTCTTCAGGCTAAACATGTCCAGTTCTTTAAGCCGCTCCTCATAAGCTTGTTCTCCAAACCCTTGCTCATTTTAGTCGCCCTCCTCTGGACACATTCTAGTTTGTCGACATCTTCCTTCAACTGTGGTGCCCAGAATTGGATACAGTATTCCAGTTGTGGTCTGACCAAGGAAGAACAGAGGGCTAGCGTGACTTTCCTTGATCTAGACACTATACACCTATTTATGCAGGCAAAAATCCCATTGGCTTTTTAGCTGCCGCATCACATTGTTGGCTCATGTTTAACTTGTTGTCCATGAGGACTCTAAGATCTTTTTTACACTAACTGCTATTGAACCAGACGCCCCCCATTTCTTAGTATTTTTCGACCTGGGGACAAATAGTTACTAATACTCTTTCCATCCCTAATCCTGACCTCTTAGGTGTCAATCCTGTCTCAAAATGAAGCCAGCGTGCATTCTGTTAGATGTCACTGAACTGCAGCCCCTGCCATTGCTCACCATTAGCAATGATGACTAGGGCTGATGTGGATTGGAGTTCAGTGCCAAGAAGGCCACATGGTTGGCCGCCCCTGCATTAGGGCAAAGACAAGGGAGACCTTTCAGAGATAGCAGAGATCACAAATAAGGCAATTCTAATTACCCCCTGCCTTGGGGACTAGGATATTCAATGCACATCTCTGAAGTCTCTTTCCCTGTTCTAATCCTATATATCGGTGTTTCTCAACCTGGGGGTCAGGACTCCTGGGAGGTGGTCGCAAGTGGTTGCCAAAGACAATCAGAAAACACAGTATTTTTGTTGGTCGTGGGAGTTCTGTGTGGAAAGTTTGACCCAATTCTATAATTACTGGGGCTCAGAATCCTCTTTGAGTGTAGGTGAACTATAAATCCCAGCAACTACAACTCCCAAATGTCAAAGTCTATTTTCCTCAAACTCTGCCAGTGTTCACATTTGGGCATATTGAGTATTCATGCCAGGTTTGGTCGAGATCCATCATTGTCTGAGTCCACAGTGCTCTCTGGATATAGGTGAACTACAACTCCAAAACTCAAGGTCAATGCCCACCAAACCATTCCAGTATTTTCTGTTCGTCATGGGAGTTCTGTGTGCCAAGTTTGGTTCAGTTCCATCATTGGTGGAACTCAGAATGCTCTTTTATTGTAGGCAAACAATAAATCCCTGCAACTACAACTCCCAAATGACAAACTAAATCCCCCACCCCACTCCACCATTATTCAAATGTGAGTGTATCAGGTATTTGTGCTGAATTTGGTCTAGTTAATGAAAATACATCTTGCATATCACATATTTATATTGCTATTCATAACAATAGCAGCGAAAATAATTTTATGGTTGGGGATCAGTCACCACACCATGAAGAACTGTATTAAGAGGTCGTGGCATTAGGAAGGTTGAGAACCAGTGCTATACATACTTATCTCATTGTAAAAATCACTGATCTCAATGGGACTTACTTAGAATCACAAAGTTGGAAGAGACCGCATAGGTCATCTAGTCCAGCCCCCTTTCATGCAGTAAAACTTGAGAGGTCAGGGGACTTGTCATATGTTTGTGTCTATCTCTTCACGTCACTTGTCGACCTGTGATTATTCCATGAATTTCATAGGGTTTTCTTCGGCAAGGAATACTCAGAGGTTGTTTGATAGTTCCTTCCTCTGAAATATAGCCTACAGCACCTGGCATTCATTGGTAGTTTCCCATCCAAGTACTGACCCTGTTTAGCTTCTAAGATCAGACAGAATCTGGAGCCTTTAGGGTATTTAGGCCCTTTCTGACATATGTAGGGCAGTGCTTATTTCAGGAAGAATGCATGTGTCCCAGTTCCAAAAATCTTCAGTTTTCAAGGACAAGGGGAAAAGCAAAACTGTTTCATATATCCTGAATGTTTCCACACTAGAACTTTTATCATGCAGCTTCCTGCCAGAAATACAGAATTGCTACCCATCACTGAATGTAGATTTACCCCTATCCAAACGGCTGACATCCTACTTCTCAAGACTCAAACTGTCCTCCAAATACTGCTTGTATTCTCTTCCACTGAATTCTCAAAAAAAGGAAAATTCTATTTCCCATATAGAGGATTTGCTACTAATTAGTGCCATCACAGCAGATTTTGAGGTAGATGCACAGTGGAATGAGCACAAGAGCCCGCAAACACAGGACTGACTTTGAAATAAGTGAACAAATATATATTGACATCTACAGTAAGGGTCTAGAGGGGCATATAATTATTTGAAGTATTACCACTTAAAGTAGTGGTTCTTAACCTGTATGTCCCCAGGTGTTTTGGCCTACAACTCAGTTTACCAGCTGTTAGGATTTCTGGGAGTTGAAGGCCAAAACATCTGGGGACCCACAGGTTGAGAACCACTGTCCTAAAGTATATTAGAGTCTGATGTAAGAAAATCAGGTCCAAGGTCTAAAATTACTTAATTGCACCACTAATGAGCACTCCTGCCTTTATCATTCTAGGCCAGGTATGAGCAAGCTTCAGCCATCCAGGATAGGGAGGGCTATGTTGTGGGAGGGCTATGATCATGCTAGCTTAGGCATGGGCAAACTTGGCCTTCCCTTCAGGTGTTTTGGACTTCCACTCCCACCATTCCTAACAGCCTCAGGCCCTTTCCTTTTACCCCTCAGCCACTTAAGCCTGAGGCTGTTAGGAATGGTGGGAGTTGAAGTCCAAAACATCTGGAGAGCCCAAGTTTGCCCATGCCTGCTCTATAAGGTACCCTGTGTGTGTTTAGTATGTGCTAAATTTGATAAGAAATCTTCCCCTCACCACTTGCATGACCCTTCAATATCCATGTAAAGCAGGCATGAGCAAACTTCGGCCTTCCTCCAGGTGTTTTGGACTCCAAATCCCACCATTCCCAATAGTCTCAGTTCCTTCCCTCCCCTCCCCCCCCAGCCACTTAAGCTTAAGGGGGAAAAGGAAAGGACCTGAACTGTTGGGAATGGTGGGAGTTGGAGTCCAAAACACCTGGAGGAAGGCTGAAGTTTGCCCGTGCCTCTTCTAGGTCTTGGAAATCACAATAGATTTTCCCCATCTCTAATGGCAGAGGACTATTTATCACAGAAAGCAGTGGTGTAGTACCTTTCTTCCTCATAGCTTCCTCCATTTCTGGGTTCCGTGTGACCATCACAACCTTCACCATCAAGTTATTGCCACCTTGCCGGATCATGTTGACAACTTGTCGATGACCAACCTTCACCACATTCTGTCCATTTACCTGAAGTAAAAGAATATGGTTAGGTGGAGGGTGTGTAATCAGGTCTGCTATTTCTAAACGCAGTGCTTCTGTCATTCTCTCCCACTAAGATCCCCATGTTTCTCCCGGTGAACAACAGAGCAGTTAAAGATCCTGGGGCCACCCAGTAAGATAGCCATAGATTCAGGACAGACAAATGATAAGTACTTTTCACACAATTCATTGAGAGATTTCAGTGTCTTAAGATGGGATAGTTGATACAGGTTCAAGTGGCTTCAAAAAGGGTAAAATCAAATCAATGAGAATCAATGGCTATCAATGCTAGGCTTTAGTGCAGCAGGTTAACCACCAGCTGCAGTAAATCTTGCCAACTGAAATGTTGACAGTTCGAAGTCGAGGTCAGGGTGAGCTCCTGACTTTTAGCCCAGCTTCTGCCTACCTAGCAGTTCCGAAAACAGCAATGTGAGTAGATAAATAGGTACTGCTTAAGTGGGGAGATATTTAAGGCACCCATTAGGAAATATCAGAAAAGCGATCAAGGAGGAAGTTTACGAACAAAAAGCTCTTCAGCAGGGAAAGTGAAGCGACAGCACCCCCACAGCCTCCAAAATGCTGAAGATGGGAAAGCCTCTCTCTCTCTCTATATATATATATATACATACATACATACATACACACGCACAGTTGCCTGTCTTGTCAGTGCATAACAGTATGTATAGGTCAATAATCAATAAGTACCCTCCTTTGATAGAATTTACAAAAAGAAAAAAGACATAGAACACTACTTGGGAGAGAAATATTAAGTGACTGCTACAGAAATGTATAATTGTGAGTATTCATACCTGTCTGAAATGCACTTGTATGAAAATGGCATATGCTCCAGCTAATGAATTACAATATTTCTAAACATAGTTTCCTGAGGAAGATTAAAAAAGACAAAACTGGTCGTGTGCTCTACAGACTCTTCAGTTCAACGGACTGACTTCACAAGCAGCAAATTTATGTTTAGTTTGTTACTCATTCTGATGTATGGAGCACTGACATTATACTTGTAAAATTGTACAGACCAGGCCTAGCACTGTTCATCCTGAGTAAGACTGCACCTTTTGTAGAGCAAATAGGTCTTAATAAAACAGACAACATGAAATATTTGGCACTGCAAGAACAACTCACAATCATATATTATTTCTTGGAAAATCTGTTCATTTCCCTTTTAAATATTGTTAGAACTCAAGTTAAGCTTATAAGGGAAAAGGAAGCTGGGGTGGTTGTAGCAGATGACGTCAACACAATTCAGCCACTATTCGTCACAGCAGTGAAAATATTATGGTGGTGGTAGTGGTATCTGAAGAAACACAATGGTACTTATATGTTTGCAATATGAACCATTCAATGGAATTCTACATGAAAACAATTGTTAAAACGAGTCATCAAAATGACAAATCTCTAAGTTGGATGAGGAAAAACTGTGGAAACATAAGTAAAATGTAAACGTTTCCCCTGACATTAAGTCTAGTCATGTCCGACTCTGGGGGGTGGTGCTCATCTCCATTTCTAAGCCAAAGAACCGGTGTTGTTCGTAGATGCCTCCAAGGTCATGTGGTCAGCATGATTGCATGGAGCACCATTACCTTCCTGCTGAAGAGGTAACTATTGATCTATTCACATTTACATGTTTTCAAACTGCTAGGTTGGCAGAAGCTCGGACTAACAGCAGGAGCTCACCTCACTCTTTGGATTCAATCTACCAACCTTTGGCCAGCAAGTTCAGCAGCTCAGTGGCTTAACCCACTGCACCACTGGGAGCTCAAATATATGAAATATATGAAAAACTTAACCCATGGCTGTCTTACACAATAATTTGTCAGATCAAAAGGTAAGGGTTTCATGATATGCAGGCATAACCCAGTAAACAAAGCCTCTGACAATGAAGTTCCTTTTTACAAATCTTGCCCAGTCCTTGTCCTCCTTCTAGCTAGACTTCTAAAATGCATTAAACAATGGAATCAAGTTTGAGCTGGGAATGAATGGGGTTTTATTCTATCCATTCCTTGTATGGCTGTGTGGATGTGATCAGGCAAGGTAAACTGCAATTTAATCCAGAATCCCTCCCTGAACACACATGAAAAGGAAAATAGTGAAAAGTGGGGAAAGCACATTAGTTTGCCCAACCACTTATTCCCAAAATGGCAGGTTAATCCTAGATCCATATGCTTGATCAAAAAATTAGAAATCTTAAGAAACATGGAAGCTGGGAAAAAAAAATCCTTGGATACATTTTAGAAGAAGTCTTTCAAGTGGCTTTTAGAAAACTCAAAATGTTATTACCTAACCTGGTTGTTTCATTTCACATGTGGGCTATTGTCTAGTTGTGAATAAAATGTTTGCTGAAACACGTTGGAACAGCTCTTAGCTCTTTCCTTTTGTTGTGCAGGAAGCTATCCTTATGCTTTATACTATAGTAAGCTGCCTTGGGAGTAATGCAATTATCAAGCTTCCTAAAGTAAAATGTAAAGGTTTCCCCTTGACATTAAATCTAGTCGTGTCCAACTCTGGGGAGTGGTTCTCATCTCCATTGCTAAGCCGAAGAGACAGCGTTGTCCATAGATGCCTCCAAGGTCATGTGGCCGGCATGACTGCATGGAGTGTCGTTACCTTAAGAGCTGTACCTATTGATCTACTCACGTTAGCATGTTTTCAAACTGCTAGGTTGGCAGTTTGAAGTCCACTCCATGGATTAGGACTGATGACCTTTTGGTCAGCAAGTTCTGCAGCTCAGTGGTTTAACCCACTGCACCACCGGGGCTCCTAAGGTTCCTAGGAGCTGAATTAATAGCATTGATACTACTATAATATTAGAAATAAAAGTAATATTTGTATATTGTTTAAATACTTTTTTAAAATAACTTTTAAAATGCTATCGTACACTTTTAATCTATATGGTTTTAGACTCTGAAAAATGCCTTCTGTTTCAATATGGGGGAGAAGATGCAATAAAAAAGAATAAAGGTTCAATTCAAAGTGCTGATTTTGACCTATTAAGCCATATAAAGCTCAGATTCAGATTATCTGAAGGCCTCCTCTCTGTCCCACCATCCTCACAGGTATATCTGATGGAAACACAAAAGAGGACCTTCTTAGTGGTTGTCCCTGCCAAAGAAGTTACACTATCACCCACTATTCTTTCTTTTTGAAGACAAGGGGAACAGTGGGTTAAACCGCTGAGCTGCTGAACTTTGCTGACTGAAAAGTTGGCAGTTTGAATCTGGGAAGCGGGGTGAGCTCCCATTGTTAGCCCCAACTTCTGCCAACCTAGCAGTTCAAAAACAGGCAGATGTGAGTAGATCAATAGGTACCACTTCTGCGGGAAGGTAACAGCATTCCATGCAGTCATGCAGGCCACATGACTTTGAAGGCATCTATGGACAATGCCAGCTCTTCAGCTGAGAAATGGAGATGAGCACCACCCCCGAAAGTTGGACATGACTAGACTTCAAAGTGAAGTCTACCTTAACTGAAAGACTTTTCTGTTTAGAAACGCATTCGATGGTCTATATGAGACCTGTCCCACCAAACAATGTGATGAATCTGCTAACTGTTGTGTTGGTGTATGTATGTTTTAATGAAACATATTTAAATCTGGTTTTAATGTGTTGTTTAATCTCATTTTAACTTTTCTATATTGTGGATTTTTAATTATATGTTTTTCAATTTGTTGTAAGCCACTGGGAAGAAGTGGGAAAAAATAACATCATCATCATTTAACAGTAACAACAGTCATTGTAGAAGCAGCAGCAGTAATACTAAGAATGAAAAAAAGAAGAAACATGGAGGAAGTACTTGTGGCAAACCATTACCTCAATGAGGAAATCCCCCATGCGTAGACCAGCACGCCAGGCCACGCCACCTTCATCCACTGATTCCAAATATTGCAGAGCGGGAAAAGCAGGGGTGGGTGTGAACTCCTCAATTGGGGTCTGCGCTGTAAAGAGAAAGATGTGTTAAATGATGCTCCTGGGAGCTAAGCATCTGTCAGATAGGGAACATGGAGGTGAGATGGTGACAGGATGGCAAGACAAGGGATTCTGGGTTTGTTTGGCATTTCTATAGCATTTACTACTTTGGAAAGCTTCTAAAGATTCACTACAGGTCCCCAATCTTTTTTGAAGGCAAAAAGTTGCAACAGAACTTGGGAAGGGTTCACAAAAGTTTTTCAGCGTGGTACCAAACACCATTTCTTCCCATGCATTGCTAAGACATCACAGTTGGAAGGGCTGACCCAAACACATACAGACTCCAGTCTACATGCATAAGCTAACTGGATTGGCAGCAGAACCTTTCCATCAAGACTGGTAAGAGATTTGTGTCCTCTGCTCCACCTGAAGAAAGCAGACAGCCTAGGAGGTCTAGGATATCCATATCTGAGAGTAGGAGACAGACCTCTAGGTTGACGTTACTCAACCTGGAGGTCAGGACCTGGGGGAGCTATGAGGGGGTTTCAGAGGGGTCACCAAGGACCGTCAGAAAATATATATTTCTGATGGTCTTAGGAATCCCTTTAGCAGAGAAGGCTGAAGATTTCTCTGCCTGTCCTTCTCTTCCTTTTTGGAAACAGATGGCGAATCCTCCCATCAAAAGGGAGGATTCGCCATCAGCCAACCTCTCAGCCAAGGGTAGGGTTGTTTCTGAGACTCCAAGCATGGAGGGGAGAGCAGGCGTGCATGGCACATGGTGCACCTGTACGGGAAAGGGAGAGCGTATAAGGCTGGAAGAAGACTCGTGCCAGCGAGTCCTTTCAAGGTACGGGAGTTCTGTGTGGGAAGTTTGGCCCAATTCTATCGTTGGTGGGATTCAGAATGCTCTTTGACTGCAGGTGAACTATAAGTCCCAGCAACTACAACTCCCAAATGACAAAATCAATCCCTCCACAACCCCAACAGTATTCAAATTTGGACATATCGGGTATTTCTGCCAGTGAATGAAAATACATCCTGCATATCAGATATTTACATTACGATTCATAACAGTAGAAAAAGTACAGTTATGAAGTAGCAACTGAAATAATGTTATGGTTGGAGGTCACTACAACATGTGGAACTGTATTAAGAGGTCACAGAATTAGGAAGGTTGAGAAGTACTGCTCTAAGTCAAGGTACATCTTGGAGATGAATTTCAGCACCAATCTCTCTTGCTTTTGAGCACAACCTAACCCTTGATGCTCAAATATAATGCAAGCCACAGATCAAGAGCTTGAAAGCTAAATCATTCATTTGGGTGGTAAAACCCACTACCCACTCTTGCCACCATTTCCTGCCATCCCACAGCTTTGGACAAAGAAGGGATGGTACTGTTCCTTTTTGGGCTCTTGTTCTCCTCAACCAACTCTCCCTCTGTCCCACTTGGTGCAGGGAGGGTCATGACAGATTAGCCAACCCTCATCAACTAATTCTGAGGATGTGCCAGGTGGAGGTGGGCAAGCAGTCAAGTGGAGACTTGGACTTCTTTGATAGCCAGACCCTAGCAGTCCTAATCTCCAAGGGTAACACAAACTCCCCCTCTCACCCTTGGCCCCTCTTAGCACAAAGCCAAAGCCTTCATTGTCCTTCTTCTGCAGCAGCACCGTCTTCTCTTTAATGATGTAGTCACTACAAAGGAAACAAGACAATAAAGATAGGTTAGGAGCCAGCAAGATTTCAAAGAGAATTTCCAATTCAGGTTTTCTTCTGCTCTCTCTCTCTCTCTCTCTCTCTTCCAATGCACAGAGAATAACCAGAGCATATTACACTGCCCCCACACTCCTCATGCTGCCAAGATAACATCATTCATGCAGGGCATCCGTGGTGCGCCAGGTCTGCACAACTTGTTGGCTCTAAAGCACCCATCCTTTCCCCTCCTCCCATGCTGGTCCAAACCTCAGCTGCTGCAAGTAGAGCATCTTTTACTCAACTGTAACCAGAAAACCCACTGCAAGGGGCAACACGCTCGTCAAGATTCTGAAAGGGCATCCAGAAGGCTTGGCAAAGGGAAACCACAAGGCAAAATTGGGAAGATAATGAACATACTATTGCTGTACGAGCCTAACACTGCAAATGCAAATATGAACCTCTCTCTGCTGCACATAGCAGAGGCACTGGAAGTCTAGAACACACTGCAATGAGCTTTCTGGCAAGCAGAGGCGAGCAGCATCCTTTCACTGCAAACACAGAGGTCAGTCCACAGGGTAAAAACGCGGCCTGCTTGGAATGCACTGGGCAATGTTGCCTTTCCACAGCTCAGATAAAGACCAGAGCTTAAACTTCCCATTACACATACATCCTCATCAATATAGAGCCCCAGCACATAGGGTTCTACCATTATTAGTCTCATTCACAGGAAAGAAGATTGGCCAATACAGAAAACACTGCAAAGGCACATTCGCCAAGTGCAGTGGCTAGTGCACAGAATTTGTTATAAGCAGGGCATAGGAAATAGAGCTTATTGTGCCAGGCAACAGTTCTGTAACACATGCTATATTGTATGTTTTCTGAAGCTGCACCAAAATGGTGTGGGTTTCATAGGATTGCCCGAACACAAAGATTATAGGAATATTTGCACTTGCAAATATAGGACCTCCTACCAATACAAAACAGTACTGCCAATACGAAACACACTTGTGCTTTGTATAGTCTTCCTTCTGCATACTGCAGAAATAGTGCCACAAAGTAAGAAGCACAAGCAGCCAGTCGCTCTAGCAATAAGTGCACAAACCCCTGGCATTGCAAAAACAGCCATCACGGGAACAATCCTACCAAACTACAAATGTAGTGCCCGCTGTCCATAATAATAGCAAATACAAGCTTTGTAAGAATTATACAAAGTAAAGTTCACTATATAGGAGAAAAATATTTCACAGTGCAGTGAGATGAAATGACCCAACACGCCCCCATCCTCAATAATGTTATCAGATTTTCAAACAGTAATAATGGGCAGCTGAAATTCATGGCATGCAAGGTTGACAATCAGGAACAAATTTGTGTTATGTCTAAATACCAAATCAAAGTATTGATTTTAGTTAACTTAGCCATATATTTCACGGTAAAATTAACATATTGTCTACATTGGATTGCTGTGAGTCTTTTGGGCTATATGACCATGTTTCAGTAGCATTCTCTCCTGACATTTCACCTGCATCTGTGGCTGGTATCGTCAGAGGTTTGTGGTCAGAGGTCCACAGATGCAGGCAAAACATCAGGAGGGAATGCTACTGGAATATGGCCACACAGCCCCCAAAAATCACAGCAACCCAGTGATTTCAGCCATGAAAACCTTCGACAGCACATTGTCTATATGTCTGAATGAATGTTTGCCTACGTATGTTAATGCTGTAATCCGCTCTGAGTCCCCATGGGGAGAAGGGCGGAATATAAATAAAGTGTATTATTATTGCATTCATAAATGACAGAATGCATATATTTCTGTCTTTATGAAGTGCCCACATACCAAATTATAGGGTTTTTTTTAGCCTTTCATTCAGACAATATAACAGGAAAAGCTTTCCAACCCTCATTAGGAGGCACTCCTTATAATAAGGGACACCTGCCAACCCCACAAGATCAAGATTTCTAACCTCAAATAACCCTACTCCTCAAAGGCAACAGCAGAAGAAAGGATAGCAGATTCAAGTCTGAGCAACCCAAAAAATTGTGTCCCCAGAGTAGTAGAATCATAGAGTTGGACGAAACCACAAAAGGCCACCCAACCCAATAATACTCAATCAAAGAACTCCCAAAGTATATACTCATATGAATATGAACGACATGTCTTTGAACAATGAAAAAACACATACAGTCCAAACAGAAAGCACGCAGATGTGTGATAATGCCATTTACAAGCAGTAACTGTTGTGGTTAACAAAAAGTGATTTTCCAAGACACAGAGCACACAAAAATAACACTGCCTTGTATATAGATAGTTCACAGTATTCACAACTAAGCACTTCTGGCCAATTGCATACCCACAGAATTCCTCAAAAGCACACACACACCAATTCCCTTCTCATTGAATACATTGTGATCAGGGCCGTAGCCAGAAAAAAATTTCGGGGAGGGTTGACAATTTCGGGGGGGGGGGGTTGAAAATTTCGGGGAGGGTTGAAAATTTCGGGGGGGGGGGGGGGGTGTTGAAACCTGCCTCCTAGCTCACGCTGAAGCAAAGAGCACAGCAGGGGGCAGAGCAGCCTTCAATAGCCTGCAGCTCCACCCCTGTCAACCACCTCCACCAAGTCTGGCCTCTTTAATGAGAGCATTCAACACACACACACCCAACTTGGTTGCTTCACTACATCGGCTATTGCTGCAAGTAATGACAGTGTGAATAAATTGTCAATATTTGCTTGAGATAGTGCTTACAGTTCTGGAGGGACTCTTAATTTTTTGCATCTCATAGACTTAGCATGGGGATTTGGTTAACCAGTTAAAATTCAGGAGTAAACCAGGTTTTTTTTAAAAAATCTGAAACATTTCGGGGGGGGTTGAACCCCTAAAACCACCCTCTCGCTACAGGCCTGACTGTGATGCCGAACACCCCAAATATTTCAAAATTGAAAGCATACTACAATCCCAGTCAGTCTGCCGCCATCACATAATCCACAAAACTACTTAGATCAAGAAGGCTTTGAGTAGTTGGTGACAATTGAAACATATCTACAGACTATCTACAGACTAACTAAGAAAATCCAACAAATGCTACGTTCAGCAAAGGACAAGAGGGATCCTCTCACTTCTGCAGGAGTCTACCATATACCATGCAGCTGTGGACAAGTCTACATAGGGACCACCAAATGCAGCTTTGTCCAAACACGAATCAAGGAACATGAAAGGCACTGCAGACTAATTCAACTAGAAAAGTTAGCCATAGCAGAGCACCTGATGAGCCAACCTGGACACAGCACATAGAAATGCTGGACCACTCTAACAACTACCATGTCAGACTGCACAGGGAAGCCACTGAAATCCACAAGCATGTGGACCATTTCAACAGAAAGGAGGAAGCAATGAAAATGAACAAAATTTGGCTACCAGTATTTTAAAAACTCTAAAATCAGGACAGTAAATAAAGAACAACACTCAAAAAAGGGAATTCCAGACAAGAAACAACCAGGGCCAGCTAACACATCCCAACAAAGTATTCCCCCAGACAGGACGCAGCCGAGCTGTGAAGCTAAAAGGCTATTCAATGCTAATCAAGGTGATCGATTGCAACATTCAAATTTGCCTCAAACAGACAAGAGTTCTTTCTCCCACCCTGGACATTCCACAGATATATAAACCTCCCTTGCCTAGTTTCCATCAAACCTCACAACCTCTGAGGATGCCTGGCATAGATATGGATCAAATATCAGGATAGAATGCTTCTGCAACATGGTCATAAAGTCCAGAAAACTCACAGTGACCCAAACATAATGCATCCTTATCCTGTTCAAGCCTGACCCTTTATGCTTCCATCAGGAGAAGGCAACCACAATTTGCAATAATTTCAAGTTAGAAGTAGCCTGTGATGTTCTGGTGATCTTCATGTAACCAACCAATAGCAATAAATTATTATTATTTTCCCCATGTCTGCTAAAAGATGGGAGCATGGTGCAAGGAATGGGGAAATCCTTGCACCATGCTCCTATCTTTTAGCAGACATGGGAAAAATGGTAATAATAATAATAATAATAATAATAATCGTCAATGTCGCAATCCCAGGTGACAGCAGGATTGAAGATAAACAACTGGAAAAGCTGACACAATATGAGGATTTAAAGATCGAACGCGGGCACAAGCCAGTAAAGGTGGTCCCAGTGGTAATCGCACACTGGGTGCAGTGCCTAAATACCTTGGCTTGCACTTAAACACAATCGGCACTGACAAAATTACCATCTGCCATCTGCAGAATGCCACCTTACTGGGATCTGCATGCATTATTCACCGATACATCACACAGCCCTAGACACTTGGGAAGTGTACGACGTGTGATCCAATACAACAGCCAGCAGAGTGATCTTGTCTGCTGTGGACTCATCTTATTGTGTTTCAAATAACAACAACAACAGCAGCAACAGCAACAACAACTTTCTTTTTGTACCCCATCTCCATCTCCTCGAAGGGACTCGGGGAGGCTTACATGGCGACAAGCATAACAAAACAAACAACATAACTAAAATAGCACATTAACATTCAATAACAGCATCATAAAACAATATAAAACAACCAGATATATAACACAATATGAAAAATATGAAAAATATGAAAAATACTCCTCAAGATGTTGATGCACTACAACTCTCATTGCCCCAACTCTTGATATGTTAGCTGGAATGATGGACAGCCCAAGCATTCAGAGGCTAACCACATGTTTTCCCATCCAACCCTGATCTTAAAGATGGTCATCAAGACAAGGTATGGAGCCCCAGTGGTGCAATGGGTTAAATCCTTGTGCTGGCTGAAAAGGTGGCAGTTCAAATCCAGGGAGCGGGGTAAGCTCCTGTCTGTCGAGCTCTAGCTTCCCGTGCAGTGACATGACAGAAGCCTCTCACAGGATGGTAAAACATCAACATCTGGGCATTCCCTGAGCAACATCCTTGCAGATGGCCAATTCTCTCACACCAGAAGCAACTTGCAGT